AAAAAATGGAATAGATTTGGTTTTGACCAAATGGCCTGGTCTTTATGAGTTACCTGCAAATTACCATCTCCCCATTATTCCCTCCTTTCCTCCTGTGCCATTTAGTCAAATCCTAATCGTTTAAAAAACTTACTGCAAACTTTTTGTTGTTATGTTTTTGAGTCATTGTCTCTTTAAACATAGTTGTTCTTTTTTCTTAAAGGACACTCGGTTCCTGTGGTTCTGCAAAGTACTTTTCATGCTCAAGCTTGTGAAGAGTTATTTAAACACCTGTGTATTAGTGGAACCCCAAAGATACGATTGCATACTGGCCTTCTGCTTGTTCAGCTCTGTGGAGGAGAAAGGTGGTGGGGTCAGTTTCTCTCAAACGTACTGCAGGAATTATACAATTCAGAACAACTTCTCATTTTCCCACAGGACAGGTAAGGTATAAGTGTATATTGGTATGTTACCCGTGGATCACTGAAGTAATTTTGTTGTTCATAACTTAACATTGGAATTGACAAAATGTGACTGAAGGATAGTTATCCATCATTTTCATTGATACAAGAAATAGACCCAAAAAAGTACTACAAACGATAAATGTCTGATTGCAGTTATTTATTTCATCTATTTGGTGCTTGCACTACAATAAGTTCCTGGTTTTCCTTACTTGGAGATCTTTGCATACTTAGCAGGATTGCTCCCAAGTGTCAAAACTGGCGTTCTCCTTTATCGAGCTTAAATGTACCTTCATCATAGAGCTGCTCTTCTACTGCATTTGGAAGTAGGATTGAGACTGGAGGCACACTGTTAGCATTTAATGCAAAAGATTACACTGAGATAAGAGAAGCATGTGTAGAGTTGAGCACCGAATGTTGGATGTATTGGTCATTTCAGATTATTGATTAAGGTCTTTGATATTTTAAACATTAGCATTTTGTTTTAATCAGACATAGTTGCTGTTCTGTGGCTTTCTGCCTTCTTTGGACAGCAACATTTATATTTTCATATTTTTTTAAAATTAATTAATTAAAGGATATAAGAATACATGGATTTAATTCTCTATCCCAGCTATTCAGTAGTATGTAATAGCAAATGAAACGGAAGAGATCTTGTTTTGGGTGTGGAAGGCTCTGCTGGCCTCTTGAGGGTGAAAGAGAAAATGTTCACCCTAAAATGCTGCGTTAACCTTAAAACAATAGGACGTGAAATCCAGTTCACTTGCTGGGCCTCTGCTGCTTTCTGTAGCAATCTGTGTCTCAGATGAAAGCCTAGGACAATATTGTTCTGTAAGGGGTGTTTCAGAATGTTACTGAATCTGAAAAAGAGATAAAATCTTAAATATGTAAATTTTATTTTTAGGGTCTTCATGTTGCTTTCTTGCATTGGCCAAAGATCGCTTAGCAACAGTGGTGTTTTAGAAAGTTTACTTAATCTCCTGGATAACCTGCTGTCACCACTGCAACCTCATTTACCTGTGCACAGAAGAACTGAAGGTAGCCCTCTAATTTGGGAAACTATTTTCATATTAATTCTAAGCTAGAAAATTGAGAGACTAACTCACAGTTTTTGGTGTAATAAAAGAAGAAATTGCTTGTTTACTTATATTTCCAAAACACAGTTGTCTTTTAAAATGTGATGAATCTTCTTGTTCTTTAGGTGGTCAAAGAGATTCCTCCCCCATCCTATTTAAATCCAAGCAAAATCTATTTGATTGATTTTAATTCAGTTAGGAAGCTTTGACAGAGTGTGGGGAGCATCCAATGTGTAGACAGCTCTAGTGACTTCGGAATTTAACATTTTGGAAAGAAATACCCCTTTTTGCTCATGAGATCCTTTCTAAGCTTTTGAGGTGAAACACAGGTATGAAGACAACTTTGTTAGGTGTATCTATATGGTTTCTGCAAGCTACACGGAGTTTGGGGGTTTTTTGGTGATCATGAGGAATTTACATTTTTTTGACCCCAAAAAATTACTGAAATTGTAGTCTCCGAACTCTATTTTCTTTGGGTGTTTTCTTAACCACCCCGAGGTTGAATCAAAGTCTTACTTTTGAAAACATCACACTGTAGGCTACTTCATTTGTTATGTATATGTAGCGGAGCATCACAGAAGATACATTGTTTAAAATTCTTAGCCTTGTGAAGTCTGTAGATACCAGCTGAGACTCTGTCCTTACTTTTACTTTGTCTCCTGATGTAAACGAACATACTGGTCTACCCTGTGCCTTCTCTGTCATGGCCATATCCTGCTGTAGTCTCTGACTAGTTTGAGGCAAACCCAAGCTTACATCTCCTCTACCTCTGTTTGCACTCTCCCCACAGCTTCCAATTCCTTTCATAGCTCTTGCCTTACTAGTTGTCCTCATGGAGGACTTTAGGAAGCAGAGGTAACTGATACTTCAGAGCTTTGTTTGCTGGTCTTCCAGCTTCCTTCCTCCTGGACAGTACAGGTGAGTACTAGGGCAATATTATGTGTGGTGGAAGCATCAGGTATGGCAGAAGAAATTCCTGTTTGAGAACTATCACACGTAACTAAGGGTCAGAGGGTGAAAACTTGTCGGGGAGAAAGTCAAAAAACAAAGGACAATCAGAGTGAGAAGTGAGTGTTGTGGGTGGAGAGAAGTTGAAAAGTTTGAGAGACACTTGGAGGGAGAGAAGTTGAGAATTATTTTTTTTTTTTTGGTGAGATGTGAAAAGAAATACTCTTGTTTAAAGTCAAGTATGAAAAGGTATGTACTTCACTCTGCAGCAGGCTCCTTTCTTTTTATTCTGCCAACTAGAAAGGTATGTAGTGGTCACCACTGCTACTCATTTCTGTTCTTGCAATTTAGACCTGTTCCTGTTCAGGTCCTGTTATGGACCTACCTGTTCAGATTCTTCCTCTGCCTGCTTGGGGTGGGCTGTTTTCTGTCAGCGTGGTCAGGAAACTGGAATTAACAGGTCAGGCTGCATCCTGTTGCTTGGATGCCAGCTACATGTGATTTTGGACAAGTCGTTTCTGTGCCTGAGTTTTCTTGTTTGATCTGGACTTAATAATAGTTTGAGTTAATTAGACTTTTTTGAGGTCAGTGCATGAGAAGCACAGTGTAGTTAAATGTGGCTCAGCACAGTGCGCAGATATGAAAATGTGCATTAAACCTCTAGTGCTGGTGTCTTTGCTGTGTTGACATTGTGTAGAAGTATACCATTTGCATAATGACTGTAATTAAGTGGTCATTATTTGTAGGTTTCTGGTCTTTGTTGAGCACTCGTGAGTTCACTTTAGAACTGTTCGTTTAGACTTTTCCACGCGCACAATGATTTTTCTTGAATGATGTGCAAGATCTGTTTTTTTTCCCTTCTGCGTGTACAAAACCACGGCATTTGAAGTGTGTGACTGGAGTAGGCAATAGCCAGTCGTTAATGCCATCACTGTAGTTAATCTAGTCTGAACTCAGTCTTGGCTTTCCTGCATCTTATTCAAATGGCTATATGGAAATACAATAATAAAGGAATAAAACTTAAGGTATTTATGTGCGCGGTTGTAACTGTCTTGTCAAAGCCCTGATTGATGGAGGAATTTCACAGTATGGAATTTGAGACATCTGGTTTATGTGCTTTAATGCAAATAACTGTCATTGTGCATTTTGTATTTAGGAAATTTAGACATATAATTTTTTACTTTTTTGAAAAAACGCTGCTTAATTTTTAGGTTGAATAGTAGAGATGAGGCTTTTGACTTCTGGCTTCATCAAACTAAGAGAACAGTGACATTTTATTTTGCATCTAAGTTTTATGCTGAATGTTTGGTTTCTCCCCTCATTTTTGAGTGCTCAGATTCTTATCCTCTTTTAAAAAAAAAAAGAGAGGAGTGGCCTAGTAAAGTATGTGTGAAGTTTATTATGGCTTCAAATTAAGGCTCTCAAATCTGTTTATTTTGAAGGTGTTTTAGACATTCCCATGATAAGTTGGGTTGTGATGCTGGTGTCCAGACTACTGGATTATGTAGCTACTGTTGAAGATGAAGCAGCCACGGCCAAGAAACCTCTGAATGGAAAAGAGAGAGAACGATTTTTGACAGGTATATCACATTTATTATCAAAACTTGCTTCTATGAGTATTGCTTTAGGAGCTGTTCAAATACTAAAAATGTATTTTCAGTTCACTTAAAAAATGAGATTTTAAAAATGGATGTTATGATATTTTTATTTGCACTCTTGTCTGTTTCTTTGCATTCCCTTCTCATTAGAAATACAATTTCTTTCATTTTTTTAAAGGGAAAAAAAAAAAGCAGGATTTCTTTTTGGGTTGTAAAATGTCTGTATGTTGTCCTGTGACTGTGGACTGTACAACTGAGAGTACACCATGTTGAGACACTTCGTAGTGTTAGAAAGGTCAACAGTATGACTTCATACTGTTTTGGTATTTGTATCCAGTATTTTTTGTTTGGTTTGTTGTTGTTGTTGTGCTGATTAGGTATGGTTTTCTTTGAACATCTTTTCTAAAAATAAAAACATGAAGTTTTTATGTTATGAAGCTGTTCAGATATTTTTACTTAGGACAGTTTTGCTAACCTCCATATATGTTTTAAGAATAATGAAAACAACATGGTACCACTGCATTTTAAAATCACACAGAAATATTACTGTCAGGGGTGATAGTTGCATAACACTAAGAGAGTTAGATTTTGCTTGTTTCGCTAGTATTTAGTTTATTGAGATGCTAACCATTGCTGAAACACAAAGACTTTTCTCTGAAGTTAAGTGAGATTTAATAAGATGGATTAATATATCCTTTTTTTTTTCTATTTGCATTAGGAAACCAGTGGAGTTTTATAAACAATAGCCTTCACACTCAGAGTCTGAGCAGATCTACTAAAGGCAACAGTAGCCTAGATAGACTGTATTCCCGAAAGATCAGAAAACAGCTTGTGCATCATAAACAGGTGACTTCCAGCACGGTAGTGGCTATTTTCACATAAGTATATATCATTTACAGGATTTGTCATTTCTAGAATGAACAGCTTTGGCCTTGGGACTCATTCAGCCTTGCTTTTGCATTGGTCTGGTTCTGTAGCTAAAGGCTGCCTAACTTCTTTGACATTTGTCTTAAACCATGGGGCATGGGATCTACTGGAAGAACAAATGTTGGAGTGTACTGTTGCACTCTGTGGCCCATATTAGACAATAAATATAATATACTTTCTAAATATGAGTACACCTGAGTGCAAGTACCTAAGCTGTGATTTAAAAGTATTTTAAAAGCTCAAGTTACAATTCAAGCTGAAGATTGCTATCATATGAACATATACTGATCCTTTTAACATCTTATTGCTTAAATTTTCATTTATTCCTATTAACATTTTCTTTTAGCAACTTAACTTATTAAAAGCAAAACAGAAGGCTTTGGTGGAACAGATGGAAAAAGAGAAAATACAAAGCAACAAAGGATCATCATACAAACTTTTAGTAGAACAGGCAAAACTAAAGCAGGCTACTTCAAAGGTATGATTGTAACTGACTTCTTTTCCTTTGTGTGAAAAGACCTGTTCCTGCAAAGTCATTTTTGTCCTACTTTGACCTTACTATAAAAAGTTGTTTCATCATGGCTGCTATCAGGTATATTCTAATACTGAAAACAGCAGCCATCTGGAAATTTACTGCTCTGTGAAAAATAGTTTATCCTTCTGCAGGGGTTTTTTAGGTAGTTGTGGCCAAAATCACTAATAAACTTGTAGCTTTGGGAATGCCAGTCATGTCATTAAACTTTGGATGACATGCACCAATGAAAATGTAAAATAATACTTTATATGGCTAGCTTTTATGCTTGATGCTCTTCTGGATGCTTTTCTGGTTGAGTAATGAGAAAATAATCATGCCTATGTCTGTCTCCCCAAACTAATAAATATTACTTTTGAGAATGTTTTTTGAACTTTCTCATAAGCTTCGTAGCTTCCTAAAAGTACTTGCTGCTTAAGTTATGGCATCTTGCAGTAAGCTCCAGATACCGAGTGTGGATGTAGTAGTTAAAGAATTATGAGATGAGGTGCTGAAATTTAGGGATTTCTGGAGATGACAACATGGACTTTGCAAGGAACACAAAAAATGTGTAAATCTTTCTAGCTATCAAACTGAGATATCTCTTTAAATATTTACTCACTAGTTTCAGTAGTAGTCATGTCTATTAGGATGACTGAAAGTAGGTCTATGGAAAGAGATTATAGAGTGTTGGACCTTACAGGCAATCTAAAGGGAAATCTTACAACAATTTCCAGTAAAGATGGGAAAAAAAATAATTTAAACAGTAGCATAAAAATAACGCCCTAAGTTTTCACTAACCATGCTTGTCATGAGCTGTTCTTTCCTGCACTGTCTTCTGCTTTATTCCAGCGGGTTATATCCACTGGTGGCCCCCTTGAGACATCTTTAGATGAGCCACTGGCTGAACTATGCTGTCCAACTATTTAAGTTTCACTTTATAGCAGTTACGTTGCATCAAAAAACCACATGGAACTAAAGAACTTTCCCCTTGCTGTTTCTTAACTTCTAGTTATGGTATTACCGTATACTTGATAGCTGCGTTTCATGCAGGTTTTGCTCTTTCACCTACTAATCACTTTCAGTAATGACAAGCTGTGGGTAATTTAAAACATGTACTGTATTTAGGAGAAAGCTGAAACCTTTGTGTTAGTAAATAGCTTTTTCTTCGGTCTACTTCAGTAGCTTCTTCTCAAGTGAGATTGTAAGAGGCATTTGTGTCATCTAATGACTGCTAGTACAGCTGATACCATGAGCTGAGCTGCTAAATGTATGCCCTTGGTGCATGAGAGGATTAATAAAAGCACCTTCTTTTCTCCCTTAAATTTGTAGGCCCTCTGTCAAAAGGTTGTAGTTTAGAACCCTGATCCACTATCAAACTAGTTCAATTTATGGTGGCTAATGCACATTTTGTACCATGGAAGTATTAAGAATTTTAGAAATTACTGATGATTTATCTAATGTGAAGAACTGAGAAGGCAGTGTTCTTGTAAGGGTACATTTCCATATTAGCTATTTTTATATGCAGTTTGCTTCGTGGTAACCATAGCTTTACATACAGGTGTGGAAATATGAAAAAAACTTCTAAAATACATATTTGCAATATGTTTTACGGCAAACATAAAGGCTTAATTGGCACTTCTGCACAACTGGATTTGGGGTTAAGTTTGTCAACTAAGATACCACGCTGCCAAAGCAAATTTTTGCCAATAAAGCCTGAATTCCACTCCAGATTCTCGTATATTTTTAGATTTTCTTTATTTTCTTAAGGAGACTTACTGTTACTGTTATTGCTGCATCACTGCTTCACTGGGAAAAGATTTAGAGGTTAGTTTTAAAATGTAACTGTTCTTTCAAATTTAATTTCTGCAGCACTTCAAGGACTTAATACGCTTGCGTAGAACTGCAGAATGGCCTCGTTCTTCTTTAGATACAGAAGTATCAACAACAAAGGAGACTCCAGAAATTGAACCACTTCCGTTTACACTGGCCCATGAGCGCTGTATTTCTGTAGTGCAAAAGCTGGCGCTCTTTCTCTTGTCCATGGACTTTACTTGTCATGCAGACTTACTTCTTTTTGTTTGTAAGGTAAACAGAACAGAACTCTGTAGTGACCACATTAAGTTAGCTTTCTATTACTGCTTTTTGCTTGATTGATGGTAAAAATTAGCTGCTCCAGCATTAAAATTTGAAGTAATTTCTGGTGAGGAAGTTTTTCTGATCTGTCACTTTTTGTGTAACTTAGAATATGATGGCTTCAAAATTGCCTGGAAAAATTAACTTATAAAAATATGTTCATGTAATTACACTTACAAAATTCTAAAATTTGAGCTGGTAAAAATACCTAGTTTACTTGTAAACAAAATCTGATAATCGTAGAAACTGAAACCGTTTTATACTTTTATAGGATTAAATATGAATAGGCATATGTATTTTTTATAGGTTCTTGCTAGAATTGCAAATGCTACAAGACCAACAATTCATTTATGTGAGATTGTAAATGAGACTCAGTTGGAACGATTATTGCTGCTTCTTGTTGGAACTGACTTTAACAGAGGAGACATCTCTTGGGGAGGAGCATGGGCTCAGTATTCTCTGACTTGTATGCTACAGGATATTCTAGCAGGTTTGTTTTAAGTTCATATTTTTCAAAATGTATGTTACACTTGAATCTTTTTTCCTTTAATGTTTTAGGAGGTTTTTTTTATTGCTGTGTTAGAATCTGCTGACACAATTAAGACTATTAAAAAAAGCGACAAGCAAATCATAAAATTTAATTTAGTGTGTAAAAATGCAGTTTAAAATTGCAATTACAGTCAATCTGGAATTAGTGACTTGTGCATTGAAAAGGTCAGATTTATATGAGCCTGATTATTTGAAAAATTATTCAGAACTTCTCCCCTTGAAGAAGTAGTGCCTAGAGAATTTAGAGTTAGATGAAAAAAACAAACAGCTGGCCTAGACAGGGGGATGTTAAGTTGTAACTGGAATAAAGCTTGAAATGAAGTTGTCTGCTTAATTTAATACATAGGAGAGTTGTTGGCACCTATAGCAGCTGAAGCTATGGAAGAAAGTGCTTTGGGAGAAGATGCTGGTGCTTCAGCTGGGGATTCTGATGACTCTCTCCAGCAGTCCACAGTTCAGTTAGTGGAGACAATAGATGAACCTTTGACACATGACATCACAGGTAAATTATTCCGTAATCTTGATGTACATATTTATATTGAAAAGAGTAAAAAAACTTTTATTCATCTATCGAGATGCCAATCAATGATTTTTTGGTGGTAGGATACTTAGTTTCTTGTGATATAGGCAGATTATGAACAATTTTGTGATAAGTAAAAAATGTTTATTTTTGCCATTATTTTTAAAAGGCAACTTGATTGCGTTTGTTAACTTTTTCCACTAAGTTGTAATATTAAAAGCCTTAAAATTACCCATTAAGTGTATGATACAGCTATGTTTTATAATTTTTACTTGGTAGTGTTAATAGTCTTTTAATCAATCAAAGGTGCTCCACCACTGTCATCTTTGGAAAAAGATAAGGACATTGATCTTGAATTACTACAAGACCTGATGGAAGTCGATATTGATCCTTTGGATATTGATTTGGAAAAAGATCCCCTTGCAGCCAAGGTCTTCAAGGTATATCATACCTGAGTTTTCAAGATAACCTTTACATGTGAAATATGAACATCCTTTCTCTCTTATACTGCTTCAATAGTGATATTTGATGTCCTAGACCTGCTTTTAGTTTTTTATAAATGTTTAATGCAGAATGACAGGAAAGAATGTAGAGATTGTTCAGTCTCAGTTGACCACAAAACATCTTGCTTTTGGATGAAGATTCCTGTGTAAAGAAGAGGTTCTGAATTTACTCATACTTCAGCACATGTTAAAGACAGCAAAAGCATAACATAAAGGAAAAATAAGATCTGTTCTTGTCCTTTCTTATTAAGAATAGGGTACCATTTACTGCTGCAATTAATCTTAAAAGTTCATACTGTTAGTATTGTGTTTAAAAAAAAAGGAAGTCAGCAGTGACCAGTGCTCAGACTGGCTTCAGACTACAAGGAGAAGCAACTAACCTTCAAACTCATTTCGCTGTGGAACAAGAAAATTACTAAATGCTTTCATACTTAAAACGAGGGCTAACCATATCAGAGGTAGTACAATAACATTTGAATATAATAGTATATATATTGTCAATGTGTGTTAAAAACTAAAAATATTTCGGCTGTAAAGAAACACAGCTGTTCATAACGAAATGTCAAGTCTCTTTTGTTTGTTAGTGCGGATGACATTTGGAGTTTTTGCACGCCTCTCAGTATTGACTTAAACCGTTAGTCTCATTTGAATTAACCTAAGTTACCTGTCTCACCACTTGCTCAGAAAACACTAAATTTTTTTTCTGTATTTCCTCATATGTCCTTCTGCCAATTATCTATCCTGTAAAGATTTTTTTCTTTAAATCTCACCCTACCACCAAAAATTACACTTACTGCTTAATTTTTTGTTACTGATGTTTCCTGCCTTCTTTATTCTACTGTGATTTCTTGTGGCAGTACTCCTTAGTCCACTTCATCTACAGATACCTTCATAATCTTATTGCCTGATTTGTTGTCCTCTGACAAACAGCATAAAAGCACTTCTTCATTCTTAATCCTTCTTCATATTTGCTTCTGTATCTGTAAAATGAGAGTTGGTATTGGATGTCACCATAAAAAAGATAGGCATACACAAATTGCCTTCATGCAGTGTTACATTGCTTTTTTTTCTTGTGATGCATATGCTTTCTTAGTGTCTTAAATTATGACACAAGTAGAGACTATTCAGTTCTTTTTTTTTGCAGAGCCAGTACAAATAGTCCCTGAGCCTCACTGAGGCTTCAAGGTACTTTAATAGTACAATTAGTAGTGTAGTATTCTGTCTTGATAAATAACTCCTCAAAATATTTATGTGATACTCTACTTCCAAATTTACAGTATGGTACAAATGTGTGAATAAAAACCGATGATAACATTTTCAAATTGGCTTCTTGAATCTTTGAGACAGCTAACTACATGCTGGATTTTGACAATCACTAAGGATTCAGTCTTATACAGCAATAAGAATTGAAACAAAATTTTCTAAAGCTATTGCATCCAATCTTCTGGTTTTAACTTTTTGTAACTTCAGTTTTTGTTTTTAGTCATTAAGAGCTTTTTGACAGTCTGATGAGTTGCTGTTCATTTTTTTCCTCTTTTTTTTTGTTTGTTTGTTTGGTTTTTTTGTTTTGTTTGATTTTTAAGCCTATAAGCAGCACCTGGTACGATTACTGGGGTGCCGAATATGGCACTTACAATTATAATCCTTACATTGGAGGTGTTGGAATTCCAGTTGCAAAACCACCAGTAACTACAGAGAAAAATGGATCGCAAACTGTCAGCATATCAGTCTCCCAAGGTAAGCAATGAAGTGAAGTTCTGTTCGGGGTCTTTCTTCTGTAATGCTGTGTTCGACACTTCAGCACATCACACTGTTTTAACAACCTCTGTGTGTTACATGGAAAGAATTAAATTTCCTGTATGCCACGTTTTTTTTTTAATGTGGTAACTGAGAGAATATAGTGTGAAACTTGTATTTAAAACAACCCAACATAGCAGAAGATCTTATTTTCTAACATTTTTGAATGCACTATAGGCAGTTTTAAATCCTTCCTGTCTTCGCAGGAAATTTTGGAAGCTATTTTCTAGCTGGCTCTAATTCTAAGGAATGAAGTGGCACACTTGTTTAGTTTGAAGGAGCGCTACTGAACTAGGGTGATGGATCTTTCCCCCTGAGCCACTGGGGAAAAAAACTTTGGTTCTTGTTTGAGAGCTGTTGCCTTAGGAAAAACATCTGCAGATTTAGGCATGTGTGATGTCAAAGTGACTGTGAAAAGACAGAAGGGTGTGTTTCACAGTAATTTAGTGTTTTATTAATTATGTATTTCAGGTCTATAAGAATCTTATGTTCAGTTCAGAGCGTAAGTTTCTACAATCTGCTTTTATCATGCATAAAAGTCAATCTTCCTGTTAGGGATACTGAGATTTTTTCAGTTTACTGTATACTGTATATCTATATTGCCTGCACAAGAAGTTAGAGTAACTAACTATATATGTCCTTGATATAATTCAGTTTTACCCTGTTTGTTGCCTTGTGTAGCTTTAGATGCGCGTCTAGAAGTTGGACTTGAACAGCAGGCTGAGCTGATGCTGAAAATGATGTCCACACTGGAGGCTGATTCCATTCTACAAGCATTAACAAATACATCTCCTACATGTAACTACATGTTGTCAAATCATTCTTTTTACATAATGATCATGATGCTTTGAAATTTCTCTAAGTGACTGCAGAAAAAATGAGTACAAAGTTGTATTTTGCTTGAATTTTCTTGTTAGGTGAAGCTTTAGAGATAGTTCTTTATTCAGATTTTTGAATTACGTATATACCTCTATTTAAGACATTTTGTGAAACTGGTCAAATATGCATGATTTCTTCTACAATGCTTTACACTACAGTGGAGGGAAAGTTTTCATTTTCTGATCTAGGTGCAAGAAAATGTTAAGTTTCCTGTGTGAAGTTTCATTCTTGCTGTTTGAAAGCTGCTTTGCACCAGTTTCACCTATTCAATGATGAGAATGAAAATATTTGGATACAATTTTGAACTCAGCTGTTCTGTAAACTTTGTTTTAAAAACATTCATAGAGTGGTCCTATTTTCAGTGAGTTGTGCTGCCCATCTGGTTAAAATGTGTTTCTTTGTAGCCTCTGGGTACCTTAGTATGCATGCAGTCATTGGTTGAATATCTAGGGGTGGAATATATTTAGTGACATCCTCAGTCTTTACTTCTCTGGAAGTTTGTTATTGTCTGCACTAGTTGTGCCATAATGCATGAAAGAGATGTTCCAATTATTTCTCTTACCATTGTGTTATCAAGACACTGCTATAATATGTGTTTAGCAAGAACTGTGGAAATGTATTTGTGTAATTCACTTTCCAAATGGTTTTTGCAGAGATGGAGATGTCCGATATTCAAGTATGCCTTTCACAGTATGGTAGTCAGTAGTCCAGCACTACTGAACACTACATTGAAGATGTTCTTATAAATTATAAAATAAGTGTCTTTCCCTTAAGTATAAAATGCAAGGAAATAATAATGAAATTACTTGTAGCAACTTTTCAAAATAATTAATGGGGGGATGGTATCATCTTGGTTTTTTTCTAGTAACTCAATCTCCTAGTGGAACAGATGACTCATTGCTGAGAGGATTACATGCTGCTAACCAAAATGCCCAGTTGATTGTGCAATTGTCATCTATACCTATGCTGAGTGCATGCTTCAACAAACTCTTTTCCATGCTACAAGTCCACCATGTTCAGGTATAACATTTTGAACTTTGAAATGCTTTAATAATATTTCTCTCTAAATTTGAAAGTTGTTTTCCTGTACTTCTTGCTACTTAAGATTCAAGTAATCTGTTATGTACTTTTTTGCTTATGAATCTGTCATGGACAACAGTACTAATAATGTAACACAAGCTGCTGAAAGCTTTTATCAGAGGACATATCTTGTTACAGCTGAAAAAGTGGGTATACATTTTCATATTTAAAAACAAGTTTGTATATTCACTGAATGATAATTGTTATCTTATTAATGAAAAGTGTCACAAAGTGTGCAGTCTCCATTTGTGGAGGTTTTCAAAACGCAGTTGAATAAACCCCCAAGCAATCTAGCCTTTCTTTTGGCAGAAGATTGGATTGGGTAACTTCCAAAGCTCCCTTCCAACCTGAATTATCCAATGATTCTATATGTTAAATTTAAAAGTTTGCTTTTTAAAAAGTTATTGGTTTAGCAATGCTTTTCTTGATTCATTTAAAGGAATGCCATGTGCATTGTATATAAATGATTAGATGTCTGTCTGCCTCTTTTTATTTTAATAAAGTAGCTGACTCCGTCCCTCAATTGTTCTTTAAATATCTCATCCAGAATACAGTTTAAACAACCTTGATGCTTCCCCAGAATATCTGATGACTTATTTTCCTCAAGGGAATTATTCAGAGTACGCATCAGTGTCTCTGAGGTTTCCCATTGAATAAATAGGCCTTTTGAATAATTTTGGTTGACTGGGAAACATCAGTTTAATAACATTCCAAAAGCTTATGTGCAAACCAGTATTACAGGTGTAAGGTTATGATAACGATATTTCTGAGCAGTGTGTAAAGCTGCTTTTTCAATGCAAGTTTGAAGAAACTTCTTAAGAGAAACTTTAATATATTTAGAACAAATCAATTACAGAAACATTGCAGAAGCATTTGCTAGTTATGCTGAATTTGCCTTGAACATTATGTTTAGCAGAATTTTCAAATCCTGTAAAGGAGAGAGTGGGTGTGTTATCAGTGAAAGTAGCTGCTGAGAATATTGATAAAGTTTTTAGAATTGAAACTTTTATTGCTCTAGGGTTCTGAGTTCGGTCTCATGGTGAGGTTTGTCTCCTTTTTTTCCAGCTTGAATCCCTATTACAATTATGGCTCACATTAAGCCTGAATTCCAGCTCCTCTGGAAGTAAAGATAATGGCGCTGATATTTTCCTTTATAATGCTAACCGAATACCTGTCGTTTCCCTGAACCAAGGTAAAATATATTAGATATGGGAAATAAGTTTGTTTTATTGGTGTTTGTTTTTTTAATACTCAATATTTGCTAATAAAAAGTACTACAGTAAATACTTTTTATAAGATCAGTATTGGGATAATTTATGTGTTCTTGTTAAAGAACTCAGGCTCACTTTCTCCACTTGAAAAATAAGTTGCTAGTGTGTAACTGAGAGTTGATTCATTGAATTTTCATAATCTCCTTAGAAATTAAATTGTAAAATTTGTGGGTTTTAATTCATCACTATTCCCAAGAGGAGTCTTCAAAATACACTTCTTAGTATAAGATGAACTGTGCAACTGTATGCACTTTTCTGACAGATTTCATCTCATTGTATACCATCCTATGATCCTTCTCTTAAGAAAGGGGTCCAGTAGAGTGTGAAAGCCCTATTACTTTTTAGCATCGGACTATTAGTCTGATACAAAGACATGTTGAATTATTTTTTTCTATAATATGTTATACTGCATAGTTTAGAAAATCTGAGGCATCTTTTGGTGATAATATAAAATATTTATGCCTGATATAATGAACCTGTTGTGCTGACTTCCATGAGAGCATTTTGAAACCAGTTTTTTACATTGTTTTCTTTGAGATGTCAGGATCTGGGCACTGTAGAAAGTTCTGTGGGCCAGTTCCTGTGAAGTGTTGGTGAGGCTTCTTTTACTAATTTCCTGGAACAATGGTTGTCAAAACAAAGTAAATAACAAAACTAAATATAGCACCTTACAGTAAAAATAAGAAATCTATAGTAATATCCTGAAGATTAAAGCTTGGAAAAACCTGTTTTTCTTGACAGCTTCAGTAACTAGCTTCCTGTCAGTTCTGGCATGGTATCCTAATACCTTACTCCGGACGTGGTGCCTTGTGCTTCACAGCCTAACACTCATGACAAATATGCAGCTTAATGGTAAGTTTGGGTCTGGGGTTGGTTTTGGTTTTTTTATGTTACCTGTTTTAGTGATGTAAGAACGAGTGTTGATTCCAATCCAGAACATTCCCTTTGTCATATAAGTACTTTTGTTGGTTCTCCATAATTTCAAGCTTTTCAAGAGTGAGCTCCTTGAATTGCTTGTACCATGGGAAACAAAAACCCTACTGGCAAAAGAGAATGTCATTATAAGTAGATAGGCAATGTCTTCTAAAAGTGCATTTTAGGACTAGAGTTGGACTTGGGTGATCCTTGTGGGTCCCTTCCAACTCAGAATATTCTGTGATTCTAACGATCCCTGGAAATTGGCTTTGTAGTATGCAAAGAAGTATCAGAGAGGAAGGATTAAGGTACTATGAGAGAGATTCATGTTCTTCTGATGTAATAGGAATATTTTTGTAAATATGCAAACTCCAATCACTACATATGTTAAGCTATCTGGAAATAAGCCCCCAGAAGCTGAATCTATTAAAAAAGAAATCCAGCCATTTCATTTCATTTCCCTATGCACACCAGCTTATCTCACACTCTCTATATTGCTCCATAGCACACTAGAAATAATGTCACTTTGTGGATGAGATTTTGACACAAGACTGATAGAAATTAAAGGAAGTAATTTTTAAATGAGGAAATTAAGCTTCTGTAGGGCTCACTATCATAGGACAGCTGTCATGAGGAAAGCTTTGGTGACCTTGTCCTCAAGGCTAAAGAAATACCAAATAATGAGAACGTAGGCACTGGAATGTTTTAAAACCTACATGTTAGCCACGTAAGAGCTCTTAAATTCTGTTTTCCCTCCAAGCATATGACTAGAGACGGTACTTACAGAAGAAAGATGGCATGAGCCACCTGAAGATCACACTTCTATGAAGCAGTTTGCTGTCCTGGGGTGACACAGTTGTTCTCCAGAATTTTCAACAAAGATTCTTATGAATCTTTTTTCATATTTGCCATTTCAAATCATTGACTTTGGGATGCAGTTTTTTCTTAAAATTTTTACTTTCCATCCCCTTTCTGTGATGTTATTTAGATTCAGTCTCATGAAAATCTGCTGACATTTTTGCTATTAAGTGAAGCAGTAGAGCTCTGAGTAAATTAATGAAAGAGACTTAAGTAATATTCACAAACTGAGATTGTAATCTTATTCTTGATATCTGAGAATGGAACGTGGGCAGATTTGTAGGATAACAGTGCCTGCAGTTAACAAGCACATGTATTGTCAACACTCCAGTTTGTAACTGTAGGCTACCATTTCCCAAAATTTATGCGGTGTGTATCACTGAGATCTTATGTGAATCTCTTCCAAATTGTATGAGGCTCAGTGGTATGCTCTGACACTGACAGGCAGCTGTGTGTTTGCAGGAGTTTCTTTGGTAATTGCCTGAGATCAGTAGGTGATGATGTGAATAAAAGGCTGCTCAAGAGCATTGTGATTCATCACAGGCACACTTCAGCATGTTCACATGGTTGTGGATTTTTTTGTATCTAGGGTTGTGAGCCCAAGGCTGGAGTTGAGTTGGAAAGGGTTGGAGATGCAAGCTTGCTGGAGGGTAAAGAACAGGGTTGAAAGTGTGTCTCCTTTATACGTGTGTGTGGATTACCACAGCTGTATATCCCTTAACTGCCCCTTTTCCTATACTCACTGAGGGAACCAGCAGCTAAGTAGGTATAAGCACCCATCAGATCTTCTCTGTGCCAGGATTCCTCAGCAGCTGATAATTCAACAATCTTCTTTCTCAATGACATTGAGTTGTCACATTTAAAGAGTGAAATAATCTGTATTCAATTCTTGACTATTGAAGGTGAGATCCATCAGAGCACTTCTTCAATCAATAATTTTGGTTTCTGTGTTCCTTTGTTCAGAACTGGGACTTATAATAGTCTCTTGAGTCATTGCAGACAGCATCTCATAGAAGTTCTCATCAACTTAGAATATTCAAGATGAAGCACAAATTGTTCGGGTCTTGACTGTATTGACAGGTTGTGGTTAGGTTTATTTATTGATTTATTTTTAAACCACTAAGATGTCAATTACAGTCCATTGGGAATAATTTAAATGAGCCTTGCTAGATGTGTGTGGTTATAAAATAAGGCTCTTTTCCCTTTTAATATCTAAAATACGAGCCCCTTACTTATGTCAACGGCAGTTGAATGTAATTTTAGTGATAATGATTTGTCCTAAATTTCAAATTAGTTTATAAGTGGACATTTAAAAACCAAACAAACAAAATTCCAACAACAGAAGGCAGTAGTAAGTATAAATTCAAGAGCTATGAGCTTAAGGGGGTCTTAGTAACCTGAGTGTCACTTTCTTTTTCAACTTCTATCGTGATATACTCAGAAACACCCCCCAAAACCAGCCAACCAGCACCATAACCACTCTCCAACAACCTACATACCTAGTTTCCTTAGAGGAAAAATCAGTGTTCTGTACGTTTTATTTAAGTAAATGCTCAGATTCAGTAGGGGAAAATAAACTTGATCAGTTCACCCAGACTGCTGTATAAAGGCACATCCTGCAATGGAAGACCTCTCTGTTTTTCTGACATCTTCAGTTTTCTTTAAAAAAACGTGAAATTGTGTACTTTCTTCTTATGGGCTTGTCCCCTACCCAGACAAGCCTTAACCTTTTCATCCTTTGCATTATCAAATGTGTGCTAGAGCAGGCTTGTTGTCTGCGGTGGAACTGGAATGCCATGGGATGCTTTCTTGCTTTTATTCAACTGCAGCTATTGCCATGCCATCAGTCATAGCCACACAGACTTGTTCCACTACTGATCTTGATAAATCAATGCAAAATTATTTGTATTGTAAGCATTTGTTTTCTACATTTTATCTAAAGCAAGAAATCTGTTTATAGTTTAAAAATATCTGTTTATAGTCTAAGATTTGATAAAGGGAAAACTTACTCTGTTATCTTCTCCTCCCATCTTCCTGTAAGGATTTCTTCTCAGAGCAAGTGTTTTTCCAATGCTGTATTTATTTCATTGTGCTGAAAGTTTTTGAACTGAGATGGAAGCAGTCAGAGTTTAGTTCTGGTTTTGACAAAGATTTTTCCCTTCTGGTTGTGATCTTTAGTTTAAGTCTGCTTAGTTTAAGGAAATTATTGTGAATCATGAAGACTCTGAAAAACAGAATGACTAGTAAGTAGGTCAGGATTTGTTTCTTTTAACAACTTCCCTAATTAAGAAACTTACCTTGGGATGTGAAGGAGTGCCATCCAATCTGTTGTTCCAGAGCATCATTTCTTCGTGATTTAAACTTTTATATATGATGACATGGTCTGAAAGAAACCACATCTTCAGCATGTAATAAACTGTAACTTCATTTAGATAGGTGTAATAATATAAGAATATATTTTTATTCAGTAAGTAGCTGTGCTTTTTTCAAGCTGTGTTTTGAATTGGTTCAATATATCACTACTGAAGGAGTAAGAGTTCACATTTAATAAAGCTCATTCATTTGATTACTGAAGGATGTATTTTAATTCAAATTCTGGTCTTCAAAGGTCTGATCTGTTAAGCTCCCTGCAGTTTTAGTCAATGATGAGAAGTCTCTGCGTGTGCCAAGGACAAAAATATTTTGATTTTTTACAGGATAACAGAACACTTGGTCTCTGTCTGACAAACTAAAAAATGCACTTAAGCCTTGTTAAAGTGTTGGACTAACAAAAAGAAACAAGTCAAAATGTCTGTATGTATTGCTTTTACAAAATTAATTGCTATTTTCAGGAATACTGCCTTAGCAAGCTTGGAACAGTGATGGAACAGTTTTGGGGGTTTATATGTATACTTAATAGAAAAGTTAAGATTGTAGTCCTGACTAAGCAGCTTTGGGTAGCTGATTTAGCTGAGAATATTTCCATATCATGAAATAAATATAAGGAATTTGCACTATAAATATTTGATTTACACTTAATGCTTAAGATTACAGATTTAATTTTTATGTCTTTATTTTTAAGCTGGTCCAAGCAGTGCCATTGGAGCTCAGGAAAGTACTGCCCAATTGTTGGTGTCAGATTCAAACCTCATTCATGTGTTGGTGAAATTTCTTTCTGGCACTAATCCTCATGGAACAAATCAACACAGTCCACAGGTAATGAGGAATTAAAATAAGAGAAAAACTCTTTGTAGTAGGATTTCAACACACTGGACAGAAATATGTGTTATTTGTTATGTATTATATCCTTGTCTTGTTTCTTTTTCTGGCTAGTCTTAGTTGGTTCTTATGAGCCACCATAGGGAAGTTCATGTTGTTGATACACTCTGTGTAGTGCGAGTATATTTTTGGAACTCTTTGGAGACTTGCCACAGAGAGAGGATGCCATGTGATATGTTAGTGAAGTATTCCATTCATTTAGTTTCCTGAATCTTGTTGGGTTGGGATAATGAAGATTTTGAGTTTAAGTATCAAAGAATTCCAGAATTTAAAATTATGCTTTTATTTGGTACCTGATTTGTGCTTTTAGTTTCTGGATTCATGTGGTGTCCACTGTCTCTCCTGATTTCAACAAATGGTTTTTTGTTTTTTGCAGTCTTTGAAACTTCTGGAAATAGTGATTAAAAAAGGCCAAGTTAACTTAATTGTATGTAATATTTGACAGGAGTCTCAGTTTAAGAGACAGAAAATACCTGGTATTTCCAGGTTATTTTTTTCCCGGCAAATTTTCCAGAAAATATATAGTCTTATATATATATTCCAGAACTATATATTCCAGAACTGAAACACTGCACAGTGCTGTTAATTTAAAGTACTTATGTAAATATGTAGCTTGTGAAAAAACATTCAGATTAGCACAGAAATGTATTCTGCATGAAATATAATTTGCATTACTGAAAAGAGATTCCCAAGCTGCAAAACGAGTCTTAGACAAAGAACTGAACTTCTTGCTTTCGACTCAGGGTTAGAAATAGAAAAATATGTAATATAAATTGATATGGATTAGTTCTGTAAAAGTGCTGTAAAATTTTCAGAAAGCAAGTTAAGCTACTTGCAATACTTAGAATACTTCTCTGTTTGTAGATGTTTTTGTTAGATACTGCTTAATTTTCTTGAAGACATTTCAGTTATATATAATACTTACTAAAATGCCTTTTCCTCTAGGTGGGACCAACAGCAACACAAGCTATGCAAGAATTTCTTACTCGGTTACAAGTGCACCTTTCTTCAACTTGTCCTCATATGTTCAGTGAATTTTTATTGAAATTAATACATATACTTTCAACAGAAAGGTAGATCTTACTGATGTTTTTTCCTTTCATGCCCTCTTTTTCTTTAAAATCTGTGTGATTGGGAATTATAACTAAGATGTATATATGCCACCTTGTCATACTGTCAAGTTATGTATCAATGGAAATCTTCATTGTTGCTGCAGCACTACAAGCAGGTTCTGAGCTCCTTCCGGCATGTGGAAGAGTGCATCTGGAATCCACACACAGCCATCTGTGCGTGAGTGACAGTGAAGAGAAGCACTAGAATTCTGAACTGGTTTTAACTAGAGCTAAGATATAGGCCTTGTTGAAGTAATCCCTAAAATAAGGACACTGTTGATGAGCTTACCTATTATAAAAAGTATTTATTCTAAGAGGCCTGAATTAATGCAAGATTTTAGAAATTATTCAGTAGATTGTGAAAGTAATATGGATGGCTTTTTGCCCAGGGTAGGATGAAATATAAGATTATTTAATTCTCTTTATGCAATATGTGTATTTATTGCTTTGTCTTTGGTGAGATTTTTTTCTCTTCATATAACAGTGGAAAACATCCTCTGCCCCACTCTCCTGGGGCCTACTGATGCCCACTAGTGTAGTCAAGTGCCTCTGGCCAGGAGAGAGATAAAAGCTTATGGCTTGTTTTTTACAACTCTGCTTCTTCAAGGCTGGTCAACGGGCAAGTGACTGTATATACAGTGTTACACCAGAAATACAGCAATTGTTTATTCTGAAGTACATTGGGAATAATTTTGTTCTGGTATAGATGTGACGCTCGTCCCCAGACAAAGGCTTTGTATAATCAGGGATGAGCTTCCTCAGTTCTGGCTTCCCAGTAGGTGGCACTTTGGTGTTACCTATTGTTTAATCTTAAAGAAAATGATTTCTGCCTTCTAAGAGATTTTACCTTAGTGACTTAATTTATGGGGGTGGTGTTTACCAGGTTACATTGGTGATCAATGACTTATATAAGACATGTCATAATACAATAAAATCATTAATTCACAGTGAATCTTGGAATACATGTCTGCATGCTAGGATTTATTTGAAATAAGCTAATGAGAGGACTGAAAGGGTAGGTTTTGAAATGTGTTAGAGTTTTTTTGAGTCAAACCAAGTGTGAGACTGAAATGTCATAAAATGGGAAGCAAAGCACCAGAAAAGGATTTAGATTGTTATTTCTAAGAACTCAGGTAATTACTGAAGGGTACCACATCTGATCAAAGCATACAATTAATTGTGAAGAAGAGCAGTCACTTCTTTTACTCTTTAGAATTAATAAATGCCAAACATTTTCTTCAAGGCTTTTTCTATAAACTGTTTTGGTCTGTATGTAATTTTAAAAGTTACAGGAACATTAATCAATGTGAAAAGATACAGAGAAGTATATAAAAAATCAGTAAGTAATGCTTTGAGAATTAGCACAAGTTCTGTTTTAGATATACTGATTCAAAAGGTTCATTTTGTAGTCCACCACTATACGTGTAAAAGCAATTGGTTAAATAAATGTATCCCTAAGAGAGATCCTTCAAGCAATCAATCTACAAGCACTAGCCTGTGATATTTTGAGTACCTTCTCATGGTCTTATGTATAGTTACTATTTAGACAGCAAAAACCTGACCATTCTTCATCCTGCCTCTGGGGTGGGGACTGGGGACGTACAAAAAACAAACCCTTGGGAAGAAAAAAAACCATCATGATTTCCTGTAAAAAAAGAAATAATCTAATGGTATTAAAGTGTTAGGTGACTGCTTCCCATGGGTATTTCCTTGCAAACATAAGACACTTTTCATCCAGAACTGAACAGGACTGTATTCCAAGTCTATACCTACAAAACGAACTGAATTCTAAACAAAAAAAAAGTTGGATCCCAGACTTTTTAGAAGGTAACTTTTTGATCCTTTGAGGTGTCAGGAAAGTGATGGCATGAGCAGGCTATGTAATGACCAATATATTAAAAAATTATAAATGCCAGCTGTAATATCTCTTTTTTTTTTTTTTTTTTCTTTTTTTTTTTTTTTTTTGTATTTCAGGGGTGCTTTCCAGACAGGCCAGGGACCATTGGACGCACAAGTGAAACTCTTGGAATTTACCCTGGAACAGAATTTTGAAGTTGTATCAGTTAGCACTATTTCTGCAGTAATTGAGTCCATAACCTTTCTTGTGCATCATTACATTACATGTTCAGACAAAGTAATGTCTCGCAGCGGCTCAGACAGCTCTGTGGGTGCTCGAGCGTGTTTTGGAGGGCTTTTTGCCAATATTATCCGTCCAGGTGATGCCAAAGCAGTTTGTGGAGAAATGACAAGGGATCAACTTATGTTTGATTTATTAAAGCTGATAAACATTTTAGTTCAACTGCCGCTCTCCAGTAACCGAGAATACAGTGCCCGTGTTCCAGTAGCAAGCAGTACTACAGACAGTGTGTCTGATGAAGAAAAGGTTTCAGGAGGCAAAGATGGCAATGGAAGCAACCCTAATACTCAAGGATCAACTGCATATGTGGCAGACTTGGTGTTAGCCAACCAACAAATTATGAGCCAGATTTTGTCTGCACTTGGCCAGTGTAACAGCAGTGCTATGGCAATGATTATTGGTAGGTATTTCCTGAAAAAAAGCAGACATTTTTTAGGGGTGGTGAAACATTTAAAACTTCTGCAAGCTCATAAGTTGGGTATAGACATGAAAGAATGTGTCACAGAAATGACAGGAAAAAAGAGATGGAGAAGAAGTGAAAGGGGGAACAGATATGTAAAAAAACTCCTATCATGGGGTGGGAGACAGTAATTGAAACCAAACAGGAATGTGTTTGGCATTTGAATTTGCTGAATCTCGGAATGGTTAATGTTAAAGGGGCCTCTGGAGATTGTCTAGTCCAACCTTCCTGCACAAAACAGAGTCAACTCAGAACCTGCCTCAGACAGCAGGTTGCTCAATACCTCAGTCCAGCTGGATTTTTAATTCCTCAAGGGTAGAAACTGCACAACTGCCCTGGCCAACCTGTTACAATGTTCAATCATTCTTAAGACAGAAAAGCCTTTTTTGTATGTTTAAATGGAATTTCCTGTATTTAAGTCTGTAGCCATCACACACCTCTATGCGTGGCTTAGAATGAGTCTAAAGTTTGTACTACAGATACCTTACCTCAGTTGTTCTCTATGTATTGGATTATTTTCCTTTTTTTAATCGTTTCTGCAAAAGACAAGTTACAATATTGTCCCTTTCACAGAATACGTAAACTTTTCTTCTGTTTTACCAGAAATCACATTAATATCGCATTCTAGGAGTTCCAGTAATGTATTTGTGGGTCAGATCTTCCTCCTGTGAACAAGTGAGGAAGCTGATCATACTTTGAACAGCAAAGTTTCTGTTTGTCAGACTTGTATCTGAGGTACATTTTCTCAGAGAAACAACCTGTGTGACTTGCTTCTGAGCAGTGGTGATAGCAAAGAGTTTATTTGCACAAATTACACCACTGGCTGAAATACTGTGAATGTTTCCATGTGTGCAAAACTGGAAAAACATTTTGCAGGAGTACAGACAAAGACCTTGCACTCCGTTTCAGGTGTAATAGTTGTAAAATTTTTCCTTTTTATAGTGATTCCCTTGTTTTGAAGAAAGTTGCTCTGGCCTTTCCTGTGCTGATCTGATCACTTTTAAGCAGATGTGAAACTGTTAATCAACACTATTTTTAGAAAACAGTGTACTTGTTGGATGTATATTAGACCAGTGGTTCATTTTGGCATAAAAGCACAAAAACTAGGAAAAAATAGTAATCTCCAGCAGTCAAATAAACAGGAGGCAGGATTTGACAAACCTGGGTTGTGCTGTTGGAACCTTCCTGAAATTAATTCCAGAATTAATCTCCTCCATTACTCTGGGTAGTTAGTGTCATATTGCAAATACACTATGAACACTGGAAGTAGTTTGTTCTGACTATGTGTTTCTTTGGAGTGAAATTCTTATATTATTCTCCTCAAATTTGATGTCTTTCTAAACTGCCAATTTCTGTCCAGCAGTTGTTTCGTGTTTTTTAAAAGGCAATTCAGAAAGATAGTGTTGTTTTAAAATGTTTTTCATTGAATTCAGGATACTGGGCCAGCTGATTCCTTCAGTGGATTGTTCCTTCCAAGGTCTTTAAATATAAGTTATTGAAACTAATTTGTTCATGTATTTTGGGAAGATGCAACAAAGCTATTTGTGGTTTTAGTTCCTTCATCAAAAACTCTATTAAAGTTCTCTCCAGACAATTTCTGTGAACAAAACATTTTTCCAAGACTGCAGCCAAGGTATATATGATCCAAAAATCAGTTATCAGCTTATACTAGTAAACATGTAATAACTAATGCAGCATGGAAAGGTACTCCCAGGAAAGGTAAACAAGATGTCTGCAAATGTGTACTGATAGATAGTGGCTCTGGTGTAAAAATTTATGCTAATAATGTTAATATACTGCAACTGGCGAGCCAGCTGGTCAGGATGCAGGGTGGCCTTGAATAATTCACTTGCCACATGAATTTAAAACGTTTTTCTTTCTGGTTTTCTTTTATGACCATCATATCTGTTTCATTAGGATTTTATGCTTTGAAACTATGAAAATCATTCACTTAACAGTATTCACCTCCTGTGCTACCTTCTCCTCACCTGGAAGTCCTCATAGCAGACTCACCTTATTTGACCTCAGCTTTATCATTCATTACATTTAACTTTACTGGACTGGGCAAAGGCTGAGACTTAAGACTTCTTTCTCTGTTTCCATGCATCCAATACTTATCAATATTTGCTTTCTTGACAGCTTGAAGGTGGTTAAAGTACTACACGTGTGAATTCTCTTGCCAAAATGTTTATCTAAGCCATGTTCCAAAGATCACTTGAGCACACTGGTTGTTATTATCATTTGTTAGTATAACTTCAGTTTCTCTAAATGGGACAGGATTACTCCATGGTGTCCTCACATTCCAATATAAACCCAGTTTTAAAAGCTCTTCCAGACTGAAGTCATGTGATTCATAAGACACTTGTTTTTATGGAAGTAATCTCTTCCTTGGGAAGACTATTAATTTGCTTTCTGTCCTTCATCTCAGCAGTGTATAATCAATATTGGTGAATATTGATATTCAGAAAATCCTCATGCATAAATCCTGAGCTGTAAAACTGAGAAGCAGAATTTCAGGAATGGCAATTAATATGATCTTGAAAACTGGTCCATTTTTACTTAGTAAAATCCATGCGAGCATTTAAATATCCTTGAGTTCTCTTATGTGCTGTAATGGTTTGATAAATATCAGTTGGTGACCTTTGAATTATTTCTGTTTTCACTAAGGTGCGAGTGGCTTACATCTCACTAAACATGAAAACTTTCATGGTGGCTTAGATGCAATATCGGTCGGAGATGGGTTGTTCACTATCCTGACAACACTTAGCAAAAAAGCAACAACAGTTCAAGTGATGCTTCAGCCAATTCTTACCTACATGGCCTGTGGGTACATGGGAAGACAGGTAAGTTCCCTTAGGCCTGCTGTGCTTCAAGGAAATGATATTATTAAATTCTGTGATCCATTATAAGATCAGAAACTGAGTTAGCACTGTGTAAAAGAAATGTTAACATTTTTACAACCTCACTTCGATTGGGTGCTGCAGTTAGGGAGCCTCCCTCTGTTGCCCATGAGAGAGAGAGAGAAGGACTTTCTGTAAGGATATTTTGACATTCCTGTAAATGTGTCTGGCCAAAGGCTTGAAGATGGATTGGATATTGTATTATATGCAGGTGGGAAAGACATTTATTGTGTTCATATTAGTGTGCACTTTAATGTTCAATATTCTTATTTCCCTTCAGCTGCTCACCCCATGAGTTTGAGCTTTTCTTTACCACAAAGACCTCTCCTACATAAGGAATTGAACCATGTGGAACATGGTATTCCTCTCTGCATTCCTATGGCAGAGATGTCAACTGTGGTGGCATTTCCTCTCTGGGAGTTTTGCCTACTAGAAGGGGAGACTGAGAACTGTCATGCATATTTCTACTAATTTTGTATGAAACCATATATTTCTTTTATATTTTTCTTCCAGGGCTCTCTTGCCACTTGTCAGTTATCTGAGCCACTGCTCTGGTTCATTTTACGAGTGTTGGATACAAGTGAGGCACTGAAGGCTTTCCACGATATGGGTAAGATTGTTTTTTCTTTAGCTGCATCAAGTAAAAGGTTTATTATAGATTTTTTTTGCATTTAAAGAAACAATGCATGTATGTGTCTAGAGGGGCCAATTTACTAAATAGGCCTTTGCTTGTGTGGAATTTATTGCATGCTTCTGAGCAGTATTGGGGTTTTTTTTCTCTCTGCCCACACTATATACAGGTGGTGTTCAGCTTATCTGTAACAACATGGTAACAAGCACAAGAGCTATTGTTAACACAGCAAGAAGCATGGTTTCGACTATTATGAAATTTCTTGATTCTGGTCCCACAAAAGCAACAGATAGCAGTTTGAAAGCTAGAGTTCTAGCTTCGGAGCCTGATAATGCAGAAGGAATTCACAATTTTGCACCTTTGGGTAAGTAATACTTCTTTCTCTAGATTAATATCCACCTGATCTTTGAATCTGTATTAAGTTCTTAACAAAAAGCTTTGCAATAGTGTCAGATGTTGCAATACTGTTAAATCTTCTAATCAGAGCAGTTGCTGGTATTTCAAGATAATGCTTGGGATGAGGTTAGTCCTCTCCTCCACAGGTAATAAGACCTCATGTGGGCAGGGGAAGGAAGGAAAGGGAGTGATCTGTATCTGATGAAGTCATGCATCAAGACGAGCCCATTTCTTCTCCCCTAGATCAGGGGATGCCCAGTTCCAGCCCACATCTGCCACAGACACACTAAGACTCACTAATTTCACTTGAGGCACATCGGGTTTGATGAAGCTATTACAGAAGAACAGCAAAATTGGATGATGGAGAATGAAACTGAGCTGGGTCAAACAGTAGAAGAAGCTGGAGCATAAGGCTGATACTGCTGATGGTGTTCTCACATCTACACCTAACCGCTTTGATGTTGCCTGAATGAGCATTTGTTAGAATTGCAATGCTTTTTTGATATCAATACAATGGCTTTTAGTTAACTAAAAGGCCTGTGTTTTAAGATGTAGAGGTACTGCAATACCTTACAAAGGCTCCTTTTCACTACTAGTGCCTTTATGTTTTCTGTTGCTGCCCACTAGCCTAGTGTAGCCCTTGCATAGAATCATAGAATAGAAAGGACCTCCGAGATCATCAAGTCCAACCCTTGATCCACTACCAGCGTGGTTACTAGACCATGGCACTAAGTGCCACATCCAGTCTCATCTTAAAAACCTCCAGGGACAGAGAATCCACTGCTTCCCTGGACAGCCCATTCCAGTGCCTGCTTACCCTCTCTGTAAAGAACTTCTTCCTAATATCCAACCTAAACCTCCCCTGGCACAGCTTGAGACCATGCCCTCTTGTCTTCCTGATAGTTGCCTGGGAGAAAAGACCAACCCCCACCTGGCTCCAACCTCCTTTCAGGGAGTTGTAGAGAGTGATGAGGTCTCCCCTGAGCCTCCTCTTCTCCAAGCTGAACAACCCCAGCTCCCTCAGCCTCTCCTCATAGGACTTGTGCTCAAGTCCCTTCACCAGCCTTGTTGCTCTTCTCTGGACCTGCTCCAGCATCTCAATGTCCTTCCTGAACTGAGGGGCCCAGAACTGGACACAGCACTCCAGGTGCAGCCTCACCAGTGCTGAGCACAGGGGAAGAATCACTTCCCTGGTCCTGTTGGCCACACTGTTCCTGATACAGGCCAGGATGCCATTGGCCTTGTTGGCTACCTGGGCACACTGCTGGCTCATGGTTAGCTTCCTGTCAATCCAGACTTCCAGGTCCCTTTCTACCTGGCTGCTCTCCAGCCAGTCTGTGCCCAGCCTGTAGTGCTGCAGGGGGTTGCTGTGACCAAAGTGCAGGACCTTGGCCTTGTTGAACCTCATCCCGTTGGAATCAACCCAACTCTCCAGCCTGTCCAGGTCCCTCTGCAGAGCACTCCCCCCCAGCTTGGTGTCATCTGAAAATTTGCTAATGGTGGACTCAGTACCCTCATGTAAATCATCAGTAGAGATATTAAACATGACTGGGCCCAACACTGATCCCTGGGGGACACCACTAGTGACAGGCTGCCAACTGAATGCAGCACCGTTCACCACCACTCTCTGAGCCTGGCCCTCCAGCCAGTTCCTAACCCAGCACAGTGTCCCTGTCCAAGGTGTGGGCTGCCAGTTTTTCCAGGAGTATGCTATAGGAGACAGTGTCAAAGGCTTTGCTGAAGTCCAGGTAGACCACATCCACAGCCTGTATTCATACAGTGTCTCACTGACAAGAGGGGAGAAAGAAAGGATTATTTTTAAAATTTCTGGGGAAATTGTTGAACAAGAGAGAAGTTCATACAGTCCTGTCATTCAAATTTAAGAGTGTCAAAAATAATGAAATTAATAAAGAAAAGGAAAAGAGGTTTATTTGGCATAATAGGGGGGCATTAGAAATCTTCTACGTTGCTCTTTCACAATTTTCTAAAAGGTAAATTTAGGAATCGTGCAAATGTTGGTTCTTTATCACTTTAAATAGTAAAAAAGTATGTATGGTGATAGGCTCTTGCATACCTTATATCCCAACTAATGAAATGCTGCAATTCTTAATGTTCTGCCATAAGTGCATCTCTTAATATTTAACTTACAGTCAGGAGCTTGCTTTTGAAATTAACCTTCCAGTTGGCCTCAGTACATTCTGATTCTCATCATGTAGTATTCTCTGTAGTACACTCTGATTCTCATCATATAGTGTTCTCTGAGAGACAAACTTCATTCATTTGGGATGAAAGTCTGTCAGAATGTGTCCAGGAATTTACCTCCAGCTGCTGCTAGGCTTTCAGTCACAGAGCCACTACAGCTACTTTAAAGTAAAACACACCAGGTACCCATAGTTTGGAACAGCTCAAATCTGGTCCCTATCACTTGCTAAAGCAGACGTAGCCTAGATCTTCCTCCTTCATTCTTAACTCATTCTAAGAGTAGAAAAATAAGCAACTGCTTTGGCCAGGTTTTTGTTGATTTAGGTGTCTTCTTTAGGAAAAGGGTTTTCATGTGAACCAAACCTTTTTAAAGAAAAAGGATTGCAGAATTTGGTTATAAAGTTGTTTGTTGTTGTAATGTTTAAACCTTTAAAACCTTCATTATGTTAACTGTGAATTAAATGAGTTCAAGTTCTAAGCATACTGTTCAACCTGCACCTTTCTGGTTGGTTTGTTTTTGTCACGTACTCCTGAGAGTAAGTTTAAGATTTTGGTAGCAGGTGTCCCCTAGCAAATTTCAAGGACGTGCATATGCGTATGGATATATAAACTGCCTATTTAAAACAGCCTGAGTAAAATAAAAATAACTCAGCAGTTGACATTATTACAAATGGGGTGTTATCAATAAACGAAAACAGATGAGACAGGAAAAAAAAGTGTTTTCCACAGTTCAAGTTGTAAATTAATCTGGGTTTTATTAATAAACAGTAATAAGCAGTGTTAATGGTGCTGTTTTTGAAGGTTCAATCACCTCAAGCAGTCCCACTGCCCAGCCTGCTGAAGTGCTGTTGCAGGCTACTCCTCCCCACCGACGGGCTCGGTCTGCAGCATGGTCATACATATTTTTACCTGAGGAGGCTTGGTGTGACCTCACAATTCACCTTCCTGCAGCTGTGCTACTCAAGGAGATCCACATCCAGCCTCACCTGGCCTCTCTGGCAAGTAAGTAGATTCGCTGACATTGATGACAGTTCAAAAATGTGAAGGGTAGTATTTAGAAATAATACAAAGTGTAATCAGAGGAACTAAAGCTGAGAGGTTTTTTGAATAATGCCCATAAAATAAGTTTGCAAAGCTTGCTAGTTCTGCTTTCCTTGAGAATGGAAGGCCCTGCCCCTGCTCAGTTTCTTCTCGAGTGTAGTAGATGTCTTATGTTCCTGTTAAATATGTCAAAAAAACCCTTGTCATACTTCTCAAAACTTTCCTCAGTGAGAACATGATATCGGTCAAGGGTCTTCAGGCAAAATGTATGGTAGTTGAAAATAAGTATGAGATTTTCAGTTCTTATTGTTGTAGCTCTGATAGGGGAAAGTGTGGTGTTTTTAGTGACAGGACTTTTCTTTATCTGAAGTCTTTGAAATAAACTGTATATACCATGTATCAAAAGGCATATCCATTTTAACATATACCATCGCACAGCTCAAATACTCCAGCTGCAGTTCTGTAGTAACGTTTGCCTGAGATAATTTCAATGATTTTGTTCTCTTTTACAGCGGTACATGTTCAACACTTAAAATTTAAATGAGTACAGATTTTTAAATAGTGTTAAACCTTCTTATCTTACTCTGTAGCTTGCCCGTCATCAGTGTCTGTTGAAATAAGCGCAGATGGTGTCAATATGTTACCTTTGTCAACTCCTGTTATCACAAGCGGACTCACCTATATAAAGATCCAGCTGGTAAAAGCTGAAGTTGCCTCAGCTGTCTGCCTTCGTCTCCATCGTCCTCGGGATGCCAGTACCCTGGGGCTCTCTCAGATCAAACTGTTGGGCCTCACAGCCTTCGGAAACACCTCCTCTGCAACCGTCAATAATCCCTTCCTTCCCTCTGAGGATCAGGTCTCTAAAACAAGGTAAGGCTCTAGTATCAATGGACAGTTCATGGTTTAGGGTTTTTTTCCATAGTGTTTTCTGCTCTGTGTCAGGTGTTTCAGTAGCAAACTGTGCCTTTTTTTTCCAATACAGAAGGCAAATATATATAAGCAGTACTTCTCACTTCTTTAATTGCATGCTTAAATCTGCATATGTAAAAGGGAATGTTTCACCCCTGCAATGGTGAAAGAATACAAAGCACAGGAAAGCATTTAGAGTTGCATTTTGTGTTTTTAATGAGTAGGCAGTTGTCAAAAAAAATGAAGTACTGAAATATTTCTTATTCCTATTGAAGTCAATAGAGTTACATAATTTTTGGAGCAGGAATAGAAATAGAACAATGAGATGTTTTTTGGAAGTCATATCTAATGTTGGTGTTTGCAAACAGTTGAGAAATAGGAACTGAATGTTGTTACAATTCTGGCATATCAGCAAGATTTCTTTTCAAAAGCTTTTATTTGGTTAGGTGGCATGTTGAGTTTCTTAGTCATTTTTAAATAAAAATAAAAAAACCCTTAAAGATTTTAAAAATAAGTGTAAAAAGTTTTTCAACTTTGAATTTGATGGGTGGATTTTTGAGATTTTCTTGTTCTTAAATTTAGCTTATTAAATTGTAAAAACTCATCAACTGAAATATTTCATCTTTGAATCTCAATGTTTATGAATTTGAAAAGAGAGCATTGGAAAGTTTTAAAAACCTTTCTTTTTCTGGGAAAAACTTTGAGACCATAAGTAAATTTAGAGAATATGAATACTGCTTAGTGTATATTTAATAAAAGTTGTATAACTGAAATTGGTCTTTGCTCTTGAATAGCAGTAAAGAAAATTTTTATAGCCAAATTATACCACTGATATATTTTTTACATCAGAAAAGGTTATAATACAATCACACAAGAATAATCAGTATCTAAAGAAAGATTGTGAGTGTATGTTCTTCATGTCTTGACACGTTTTATTGTGGCTTTTATTGTGGCTTTCAGCTTAATTTTATAAGTATCTCAAGAAAGTAATGACATGATAGCTATATTCAATAAACTTGGATATAATTTTGGTTTAGACATAACAGAGAACTTGCTCTCTTCTAATTAATAAATCTAATGCATCTAGGAGTACATTATTCCTAAAATAAAATTGTGAGTTTAATTTAAGATCTATATGTAAGTTTGCCTTTTTTTGAACTATGATAAAGGTTAACTGTGAAAACAAGTTAACCTGCTAGTTTAGAATTTGTCAGTGAAATGATGCCATTTATTTTGCATACAACTTAGATTGCCATATTGTTCATGATGCTAGTTTGAATAGTATTGTAGTGGATTTTATTAATAAAGTCTAATTAATGTGTTTCCAAATTGATTCAATTACAATAGGTTTACTTCTCAGGATTTATTATTAAAAGGAATTCTGAATGACATTGTTAAAGAATAAGAAAGACATGAGAGAAGTGTAGTGGCTAACACATTTTTAATTGCTGTGCTTTTTCTGTATGTATTTTAAGTCATGTTCCTTAAGGTTCAGTGTAATTTATTGTAGATGTGTATGACGGTAAAAATTTGTAATGTCAGGGAATTTGTTCAGGTATATAATTTTAATGCCAACTACTATTGCATCTCAGCTCCTTTTAATGTAAAAAAACCCAAAAACAAGGAAAAAAAACCCAAACAAAACAAAACAACAAACCAACCAAACAAAAAACCCCAACAACAATCCACAACAACCAAAAGAACCCAAACCCGAAAACACCCTACGCCCTTCCACGTATATAAACACCTCCCCTTCCATCCTCCCCCCAGTAGGTTGGCCCTATTGGAAGAAATACATATGAGAATCGAGAAATCTTGAGAAACTTTGGTACTGAAACTTGCAGGCTCTTAACTCTTCCTACCCACAAATCCTGCCTTTCTTACAATCTTAATCCAATGATTGCAACAGCATTACTTATGTTTATTACATTGTGGTCTTAAATTCAGGCATTTGCTTTGCTCAGATGGCATTTGATCATGACACAGAAGTTTTCTACAGTACTTGTCCTATAATCTAATACAGGTAGTTGTGCTATAGATGAAAAATAACATAATAAGAAAATAATACATTAGCTCATTTTTATGTTTTCCTTTTCAGTATTGGATGGTTAAGATTATTACACCACTGCCTCACTCACATAAGTGATTTGGAAGGAATGATGGCTAGTGCTGCAGCACCCACAGCTAATCTGTTGCAGACATGTGCTGCTTTACTAATGTCACCTTACTGTGGTATGCATTCTCCAAATATTGAGGCTGTACTTGTAAAAATTGGGCTTCAGTCCACCAGAATTGGCCTAAAATTGATTGATATTCTTCTAAGAAACTGCTCAGCATCAGGGAGCGATCCTGCAGGTGAGTGCAATGTATTTCTTTTCAGTTGTTGCTTAAAAACATTGCTTGTATAGAAGTACAAATACAGTATATTTGCATGTTACTTTCAGATTTGGAATCTGGGTTGCCAGAACTTGCCACTGTGTTTTATTATGCTTCTGAGTATCACAGTCTTTGTACGTGGGTAGTTCTGCAATAGTAGAGCAGTGCATCCGGGATTGTTTTGGGTTTTCGGAATTAGGTAATGTTTTGAAGACAAAGAGTAGGATGTGCAATGTATCCTAAGTGTCTCTTACTATAGATACTATGTCTAGATATTTCAAAATAAAAAGCATCCATAAGTAGTGCTAAGGAAAACAAACAGCAATATTTGGGCAGCAATAGTCAGTATGAATTCTGAATAACACTAAGCATTGGAAATCTTTGTATGTGGAGGTATGTAATTAAGATAGAACTACAGTCTATATCCCACAGCAAAATTCTGCAGAAGCTATTCTGTTAATGCACTGGGGTTTTTTTATTTATGGTTTCATACCACTTTGCTGTTTTGTGGCTTTTAAATGAAGAAAACTAAATTCCTATTTTTCTTTTTTGAAGGTTGCTAACAGAAAACGCTCTTTTTAAAATGGCTTCCATGACTTCTCTTTCCATGAGTTAGTGTTTCAGTGTAGATTGCTGTCTTTTGCTGGGATGATGTTAGATAAGAGAGTAGTTTCCTGCAGGGCAGGAGATTAGCACAGTGAGAAGATGAATAGGAAATAATCTGAGGAAATCTTCAACTGTAGTCCCATTGATGGAAATGGGAGTTAAATAAACTTCCAGTTTGAAATAAGTGTTTGCTTCTGTGAAGCATGCGGTTTAATAGCTTTATTGGAATTAGTCATGTCTTTTTGGAATATGTTGAAGAAAATCCTACTATGTAAACTTTTAAGTCCTGTGTCTGATAAATGTAATGGCTTTTCCTTTCATAGTAAAGCTGAACATTGCATTGAACATACAAAATGCTCAGTTTTGAGGCAGTGGTGTGTATTAAGAATTGCATCCTTATGTTAATGGCAAAACTTAATTAAATGTTAATATTGCAATTCTATAATGTCATTAGTACACTTAAAAAATACGTATGTAAGTACTTCTGTTATTTCCCCTCCCCTTTTCTTTTTTTAATGCGGCAAGATCTGAATAGCCCTTTACTGTTTGGAAGATTAAATGGTCTCTCTTCTGACTCCACAATAGACATTCTTTATCAGCTTGGAACGACTCAAGACCCTGGAACAAAAGATAGGTAATGTTACTTGGGTTGTCATGTGGAAGCATATGCAAAAATAGTTGGCTAAATGGTACTTGATATTAGTGCAGAAATAAAACTCTTGAAATCTGATTGTTACAAGATAGTGTGGAAGTGCAGAAATCTGGAGAAGCTTTCCTGCTTTTCTTCTAGCTCTTTGCATGCCTTTTTTTCTGCTCTTATGAATGTGATAAAATTTTGATTTTCAACCGACTTTTCTCTCAAACACTCAGGACTCAGTTACCTGCTATATTTTCGTTTTCTGTAGAAAGTTGATATTTGGCTATCCAAGATAAGTGTTTTAAATTAATTTTAGCCCTGATCTAAGTCTTGAGAAAACAGAGCTTGAGCTTACTCTTGAACTTCACTTCCAAGGAATAGATAAATGCGTAAATTGGATTACAAAAAAACAGCAAGCTAATTTGGTTTTGAGTGTTTCTTTGATCCTTTATAATGTGCAACATCATCTTGCCTTACAGAATTCAAGCATTGCTGAAATGGGTCAGTGACTCTGCAAGAGTTGCAGCTATGAAAAAAGGTGGCCGGGTCAGCTACATTTGTCCAAATAGCTCAACAAGAGAGTATGGTCTTTTGATGCCATCCCCTTCCCACTTGCATTGCGTGGCAGCAATTTTGTGGCACAGTTACGAATTGCTTGTTGAATATGATTTACCAGCATTGCTCGACAGAGAGCTTTTTGAGTAAGTATAGCAGTTTTGCAACGCATTATTTTTATAACTGAACTGTTTTGTTCACTAAAATGATACAACTTAAAGTGCACTTACTCATGTTTCTGTTTATGAGATCTTTTAGCAGACTAATCTTGTTGATATTGTTTGCAGTAATTTTCACAGTACTTATAAGTGATCTTCATTAGTATACTGTTATATAAGCATTATTTTATTTGCTGTGGTATCCAGTATCTGTAACAGATAGCTGAGAACTAGGAAGCCGGGGGAATTTTTTTCTTGGAGTTTTTTATTTGGACTTTTGTTATGGCCAGTCTGATTTGAAAAAAACAAAAGCACAAAATCTGTAGTGAATCTTAAACTATGAATTTGCTGGATGTTGGTGGGTTCTAAAGAGAAGTTCACCCTAAACACTAAATATGTAGTCTTAGTGACTCCAATTTGAAAATGTATGAGTTAATATTCACAATTTCTGTTGCTTAACCATCTCTTCTGTTCAAAGCAAACAAAAAAAGAGAAACCACATAACTTTGTTTCATGTGCTTTATAGAAATGCAGCTGTTAAATTACTGTATCTGGTCAAGCATCTTCCATTTGTACCATTGAATACAATTCCAGTTAATGAAAGGAACTTCGCACACTAATTTTGTTGTTGCCCTTTTTCTATTACCTTACTGTCTCCTTCAGGCACAGACAAACATTGGAACACCAGGAAGTGTATAATTTACAGTTATAGGTACAAGCACATAGAGCTTATATGTATGTGCAACATGATGGTCTTTAGGTTCATGATTACAAGTGAGACATTTTCTGAAGACACTTCAGTAATTCAAAATGAGCTTGTTCATTTTGAGAATCAATTTAAGGATTTTAAATTGCAAGTCAGTCAGTCCTTTTAACAATACACTGTAACAAAAATACATTTTCAGGTTATATTTTCACATTTGAAAAGGAAAATCTTTACCAGACTTCCTACAATGGATAGCCCATTTAGATTTATTATAGATATATAAGTGGGTTTCACAACTGAGTTCCTGTCTTTTGGAGAAGAGTGTGTTGTTTTCATACAGGGCAAAATGAAAGAATACTAATAAAACTATTGTACCTAGTTTGACTACTCATGTTATAGTATAGCCCCATTCTTCTACCTCCTGCCAGATATAAAACTATATCTCATATCAGCCACCATCTGGAGCAAATTATAAAAAACATTTTTTAATAAATGTAAAAATATTGGTGTCAGACTTATGGGTAAATAATTCTTATAATAAAAATAACTTTTCATGTGTATTCTTCATCCTCTTTGATATTGTAACTTTTGAAATATTTTAATGGATTCTAGCTATAACTCCCAAGTTTCTCCTTCATGTGATAACTCACTTTTTTCTTGGAAATATTTTCTCATCATCCCCATTTTCCATTTCAATTTTTTTGCTTTGGCCAATGGATACTAATCCTTAGTTATTTTTAAATATGTATTTGGAAAAAGAAAATCTTATTTTACATAGAGCATGAACTTATCCAGAAAATGTTGGCATTAGGATTGTGTGACTATGTAGTTGGAGAGGAGTTTAAGTGTAGCTTTATTATATGTGGACTTTGGGAAATTGTGACTATCTTTCCAGAGTTATGGGTCATTTGGTCACTGAAATGAGTTTTGTGTTGGGGAGGGGTTTTATCAACCATTCTCTAGACTGGTGATAAACTTTTGGTTAGACCCGTGCTCTGTTCTGCTTTCTTAGAGTGCCCTTAGACTAAACACAGAATAACATTTCCATCCAGAAGAGGGAAAAACAATCCTTGTCTTCAAATGGGAATGTAATATATAATGATACATCCAAACTTACTTAATAACCTAGCATTGAAGTGGCACAAGTGTGTGTTCACCTTCGTATGTGAATGTTAAGCTAATATAACTTATATATGGTGTCAAGGTACTGGGAATGCAGTTTGGAAAACTGTGGGAGTTTTTTTAAGTACTTCACCTACTCTAAACAAGTCTGTGTGAAGAAAGGATCATTTCACTATTTTACAAGTACCACTTCTGAAATTTAGGCTTGAATAACAGGAGCTAAATTAGCTTCTGCATTCATGTGGCTTGGATTAGCATTCAGGCAGATAGTACTTGGATGTAAGTGAGGTCAAAGGTAGGTGGGATTTTAATATCTCTGCGGAATAATTCTGTTGTTAACTTGCATCCTAAATTTAAGTTAAACAAGGGGATAGTGAGGGTAGCACTGTTCAACCAACAAGATTGCTGCTACTTTCCCTTTTTTTTGCAGCATCTTTAGGTAGAAGCCCAATAAAGCAAATCCTAAAAAAATTTTGGAAAGATGTTAAATTACTTTCAGTTCTTACAAAGGATTGAGACCTGTGCATGTGTGTGAGATCCTAATAGCTGCAGCACAAAGAGGTTGCAGTTGGTTAAAAAACAGATAAGATGCTGACAACTGTCAAAAGATTGAAATCTGTTTTTTGTGTGCAGCATACCAGAAAAGTTGGATTTATATCTATTTTAAATACAATACGAGGAAAGTAATTTAAGCATACAGTTAAGAAATGCCTTCTGGGTAATCAGTGTCCTGCTTTCAGGCTCAGCACAGTGTTTTACAACAGCATCTACAGTAGTTAATCATAAATATGGAAAGACGGTTTATGAACTAATGGAAAAAATGGAAATATGAGTGGCAAACTGTGTATTGACATGATTTTCTGTCTTCTACAGGTCACTGTTTAACTGGTCCATGTCTCTTCCCTGCAACATGGTTTTGAAGAAAGCTGTTGACAGTTTGCTTTGCTCAATGTGCCACATCCACCCAAATTATTTTTCCTTGCTGATGGGATGGATGGGTATCACTCCTCCTCCAATGCAGTGTCAACACAGACTGTCTATGACTGATGACAGCAAAAAGCAGGACCTTAGTTCGTCTTTAACAGATGACTCTAAAAATGCACAAGCCCCTCTTGCACTAACAGAATCTCACCTGGCTACTCTTGCTGCCTCATCTCAGTCTCCTGAAGCTATCAAGCAGTTATTGGACTCAGGTTTGCCTTCACTGCTCGTAAGAAGTCTTGCTAGTTTTTGTTTTAACCATACTTCTAGCTCTGACTGCACTGCACAATCAATGGATGTCACCCAGGACAGGCTCAGGAGACATCATGTTCCACAGCACTTTAATAAAATGCCTATCACGGCAGACCTGGTTGCTCCTGTTCTCAGGTTTTTGACAGAAGTTGGCAACAGCCATATGATGAAGGATTGGTTGGGTGGCTCTGAAGTCAATCCACTGTGGACAGCACTTTTATTTCTGTTGTGCCATTCTGGTGCTACCTCTGGAGGACACAATATGACGGCGCAGCAGACCAGTGCAAGATCTAGCTTGCTTTCTTCGACTGTAACAACAGGATTGACCACTCAGCAGAGGACAGCAATTGAAAATGCAACAGTTGCTTTCTTCTTACAGTGCATCTCTTGCCATCCAAATAACCAGAGACTTATGGCACAGGTGAGAGAGAAAAATAATAATGTTTTAATTTATTAGTAGTTTCAGCTAACTTTCAAAACTTTCTATGTTTTTTAGCTTTCTTTCATGTAATTTGGAGTTTTGTAAGCTGTTATTGACTGGAAAAGTTTTATATTAAAATTGTTAGCTTTTTGATCTGAGTCTGAAAAGTATAAAAGGGTTTTGGCATGGCCATGCAGTCCTGTGTTTATATTTGTATTCCTCTTGGTTTAGAGGAATAAACTTTAGACCAAAATGCAAAAGACTGTATTTAATTGGATAGGTCTAAACTTCTGTGAAATGGACTTCGAACATCAAGCTTCATACACATATTTAATATTAGTCACCTAAGGAAATTTCTTGGGAAGTTTCCTTGTGCAACCTGTGTCCAAGGAAATACAGGCTATATATTGCAGAATATGGCTTTGCATTTGCCATTCTAGTGCAAAATCAGCTATCTTCCTCACATTCATTAACCTTACCAACCTAACTGAATAAGAGTATAATGAAAAAAAGGTTTTTCAATATTAAGAATGATGATGCCCGGGGAAGAGGTAGACCTCAGTAAAAAAATTGGGTCAGTTCTCTGTTAATGGCTGGCAGTAATGCTGCATTATGCAGTGGGAAATTTTTGCTTTAGAAATTCAGAAGCTGTGTTTCTAACTATTTTATTTGCAGGTTTTTATCTTTTTGAGTAGTCTGTGTGTTCATAATTGCTTTGCTATAGTCAGTGTTTAGAACTTTTATATAAAGAGCCTTATTTGCTGCTGGTATTTTCTTCAGTGGTGCTCATTTCTGATCGGGTTTGAATGATAATTGGAAGGTAAATCTCAGGCACTGCCTATTGTGGCCATGTAGAGCTGTATTTTAGAGACCTAAATATAGAAGTATTTTAAATCTGATGTCATTTTGCATTCTCAGGTTCTCTGTGAATTGTTTCAGTCCTCTCCTCAGCGTGGGAACCTCCCAACCTCTGGAAATATTTCAGGATTTATTAGAAGGCTTTTTTTGCAGCTGATGCTGGAGGATGAGAAAGTGACTTTGTTTCTTCAGTCCCCTTGTCCAGTAAGAATTTTTGATACCGTATAGTAAACACAGAATAAATTTAGCCTTTATAAACTAAGTCTGAGTATATTCAACTTGGAAATGTCACACAGCAGCTTTTCCTGCTGCACACATGGAATTCTGGAAAGTGCTGTTGAATTGTAAGTACGCATTTTAGAAAAAAATTCAAGGCACTGTGTTAAGATAAAGTCATCTTTTTGAAAATATACTGCTTCTGAAGGATCTGACAACTGAATTTATCTTACAGAAGACTTTTTATAAGTATCCTTACACACTAGCAGCAAATATAGATAGAATATCTAGTCCTTTCAGTAGTCCTTATCAGTTTCATTAAGGATTGGTCATAGTCAAAATTGGCAGAGATCCTTCAGCATTAGCCAAAATGCCATGAATAAATTCTTGAGTGACAAATACTTGAATTAATTTATAAAGCAGATGTATGATTTATGCTTCCACATGCTTCACTGGAACAGAACTGTAATTAATGTCTGAAGTGCTCTCCATTAAAGGCTGTGAAAAAAAAAAAATGGGAAAAACAGAAGTTATTAAAAGATCCGATACTCCCACCCAGGAAAAAAAATATTTTCTGTTTTGGTTTCTGCGTCTCAGAAGTGAAGTACTACATGAGATATGTGACAGGGAAACTGGATCAGATAGTATATAAAATGGAAAAGGAGAGACAAAATTCAGTTTTACCACGAACATTTAAATGTTTGTTTTAACCTCCCTGACTAATTGTTAACAGGGCCATTGATAATGTAGTAAAGTAACATCAATTTTCTACTAATTTTTTTACATACAACAGATTTTCACAGAAAACTGTTACTAGATATGGAAAAGCAGGAAAAAAATCTTGAAGTTGTCATAATTCAGTTTCTTCTATTAAAAACACTGTGAAACAGTCTGTTTTTACTGAGATGATTCCTCCTCTAATGAGAGAAAAACCTTAAAAATAATATGGATGTAGAACATATACTTCTAGTATATCCAACAGCATAACTTTTCAAAGATTGGATCCCTATTTTTATCTTTAAAGTTCTTACCAAAGCAGAGAATGATATAAAATGTGAACAGGGCTCAGTCTAAAATATAATAAAATATTTGAAATGTTTTAACTAGTCGTGGCTTAGTTATATGTCATAATAGGAAAAAGTAGATATTAAGTCTAGAATAAACTTCCTCCTCCAGTCAGAGCAATAGAGAAACATCATCTTACTCTACTCCAAGTATATTGTGATTTTTCTAATTTAATTTCAGAATTAACTTTTCATTTCATAAATAATCGCAAGTCTCAGACACTCAGTTTTTCTCTCATATTACAGCTATGTAAAATAATTGGGTTTTTTAAAGCAAAGATGATATCATACTGTTTCCGATCCTAAAACTATTCTAGGCTTTCAAAGCAAATTATTTTGAGTTAAAAAAATTAAACTTGTCCTAACTTGATGCATTTTTACTGTATACCTCCAAAGTTAAAGGATATGTCAGTTTTCATTTTTAGCACACTAAGAATTTAGCTTTGTCTTGCCAAGGTGGCTTTATAAGAGTTTTTATTTCTCAATGTTAAAGTTATGTTAAATGTTGACTATTTTTTCCTTTCAGCTGTACAAAGGTAGAATTAATGCTACTAGTCATGTAATTCAACATCCAATGTATGGAGCTGGACACAAATTTCGTACCCTTCACTTGCCTGTCTCAACAACTCTGGCAGAGGTTCTTGATCGTGTGTCAGGCAAGTTTGCAGTAGCTCATGGTTTTGGTTTTGGGTTTTTTTTTAAGATACAGTTTCAGAAAAAAAAATCTCTTGTTTGTTTGACCATACAAATGATACTGCAAATATAAGTCTTTGAAACACTATGTCTTTTGTCCAGTCACTTAAATATTCCCAGTTATGTTAGTTAAATATCCTGAAACTTAGTCATATATATGAAAGTGGAGATGAAATTCTTTTGCTGTCAAAAGGACATATTTCTGTGGATATACATTTGCCTTTGCTTACAAAATGAAAATTGAAAACCGTCATTTACTTTTAGATATTAATTTTTAAATTATACACAATGAGAAGATAATGTTAAGGCATGAATTTATTTGTTTGTTTTTTTAAAGTTTAATACTTTCAGTTATACTACTCTAATATACATGGACAGATGTTGGACTCTGTTGACCAGGGCTCCACAGACCATAATATGGATTTTGACACCTGAGTGGTGAATATCTTAATCTTAGAATGAATCTCACCTTTAACTTTATTCAATACTTATTTAATTATTACTTTATTTAATACTTTAGAAAACAAAACTGTATGTTAAAGATTAGAGTTAATGATCTTTTTTAAAATTTTTAAATTTAGTTAAAGAGTAGAATTCATACTGAAGATGTCATGTCCATGCCAAAGCTCTGCAGGTAAAACCAGGCAAGATGCAAGTTCATTCTCCTCGAGTAATAAATAGAGCAAAAATTCTTTGGACATGTTATGTGATAAATCAGTTTTATAAATGTCTAATTAAAAAAAAAAAGGAAAAACACACAACAACAAGCCCAGGAATTCCTCTTAATTCTTAAGATGTGGATCTCAATAATGTCAAAGAAAAGTCAAAAATCATTACAGCAATTATGTTTTTGCCATATTGGCACACCGAAGGGTGTGCACTTAGTTGCATGCTCATCTGACTAGGTATATGTGTTCTTACAGGTAGGTTTACTTGTATGTGTACTTTTTTGGAAAGTGTAGATCAACTTCTAATTTCTGAGGCAAATGAAGAATTATTGCTTTTTTATATCTACTGAAAATCCTTACACTGACATTTTTAACAAATTTGTTAGGGCAATAAATATGTTACCTAACAAGTTGATAGTACTAAAGTACTCGACTGTTTTAATGTACTAAATGGTAAAATGGTATTTGGCAGAATACTAGATAGAACAAGATGTGCTTTGGGATTTTAATCCAAAAATATTGATTCCTAGCAAAATGCTTGGAGCATTATTTAGCAAGGAATTGTTCACTATTTCTGATAGAATTCTGTATTTATTTACTGTCCAGACACAATCGTGTAGAATGTGACTAAGGTCTTTCTGACCACAAACCGCACAAGGAACTAATTACTGTAATGGGTGAGATGGTCACTTCATATGGAGTAGGGATCAGTTGTTGAGCAGTGACATAAACTGTACTGAATAGCTGCCTTAGTGGTGTATTGTGGTCAACTTGATAGCCAGCGCTAATAAGGATTAGGGAGGAGAATGTGATGCTGTGATAGACTGTAATGTCTGTAATTGAAAATGGTCAAATGCTTACTTTGTAGGGCACCGTAACTTTGGGTTTTGCTACAGAATTGTTAAGCCCCAACTTAACTCTCATTTTAAATTGGAAGAATTAATGGAAACGTTAAGGTTCACTTATGTTTCCATCCCTCACCTAATGTGATTTTTCTGACTCAAAAACTTTGTGATTCTTGTATGCCATTCTGTGAAGTCCATGGTTAGGACAGAGTGAAGAAGACTTGAATGTATGAGGAGTAAACTGTGTGTTTGGGGTGAGAGGGAGAGAGAAGGGATGGACTGGATGGGAAAAGAAAGAAAAGACTGTCACCAGTGCAACAATTGGAAGTCATGAAGATCCTGTGTCAGTCTGTCCCTTGGGTTAACTTCTTTTTTCTTAGCTACACTGTTAATGTCTCAAATTAATCATGTCATACTTTCTCCATAAATAAATCACAATAAGCATATTCATTTTCTATGTTTTCTCCCAGCTTTACAAAAAAAAGGGGGGTGGGAAGAGAGAGTCTAAAATCATTGCTAAATCTCCTGCTTACATCCCTTCACCATAGGAAGAAAATACACTGCCGATAGCATTGTCTAGGATGAATACCAGTTGCTTTGTATTTTGTGCACTCTACTCTTAAGTTACTGGTCTTGGCTGGTCAGAAAAATTGAACAACAAATCTGGGTATCACCTGAGTAGAAAAAAATACCATTGCTTAAGCTTCCTTAATCATTTTATTAATGACCTTTAATGGGACGAAGCTAGAGCAACTCACTAAACTGCTAGACCAGTTTAATAATAATAGTAGAAATAATGATGAGAATTTTTTGAAAAGCCAACACCCAGTCTCATATATATATAGGTATATATACACACACACGTATATAAAGAGAGAGCATGTGTGAATGTTGGGTCCTGAGTAGCAGCAGTTTCACACTCTGTATCTTCTTTGGTCTCCAATACTGTGTAATACAGACATAACCAATATCTTCAGGCACAAATCATAATATATTTCCAAGCAGCTAAACCACATCCCTTTCAGCACCTCATCCACTGGTGACATACAATTAAAGGTAGTTTGATAGTACTTTTAGGTCTTGAGTCTGGGTATACCTTAAAGCTGCTATGGCTATGTGGAAACAAGTTAATACTCAGAAGCAGTTAGAGAATCATTTGGCCATTTTGGTGCCAGTGTTGTACCTCACAAGCTGTGAAATGGTCCATTGTCACCAATCATCAGTGATTTAATAGATTAGATTTAATAACTTGCTGATACTTGTGATCTACACTAATGATTGAATCAAAATGGTTGAGCTGTAGTAATCTAATGTTCACTTAAGCAAACAGTTCAGGTTTTGGATATGTAATGTACTTTAGGCATCTTCCGATTTCAAAGGAACAGTCATACTTGCCACTACTGGAATTGGATCAGTATGTAATACAAGATACTCAGACCTAAATAAAACATTTATTTAAATAAGTGTACAGCTGTCCTTAAAAAAAAACAAACCAAACATCATTTTGGAATTTCTTTTTTTGTTCCATTTTTTTTGTTGTTGTTTTGGTGAGATTTTTTTTTTTTGGTTCATTGGGGTTTGGGTTTGGAGGGGGATTTTTTGCTTAATCTCAGTTTTGGTTGATTGAAATGGTTTAGTGGGTTTTTTTAACATGAATACATTTGACTCATCAAGTAATGGTTTTAAACTGTTAGAGATTTAAATTGTTAGATAAAAGATATTTGGGGAAGAAGGAACCCGAATTACCACAATACCTTAATTCATAGATATTTACAAGACTGTTGTTGCCGGGCTTGGAACTCTGAGACACTAAAATAGTTGAGAATAGCCTTGTGAACAACTTAGAAACTGAAATAAAATCAACTTGATATCTCAAAATGCCTTTCTCTCCTTTCTTCTTTTTGATTTGTTTTTTTATTTTTCCCCTCTGTAGATACACCCAGTATTACAGCTAAGCTAATTAATGAACAGAAGGAAGATAAAGAAAAAAAGAACTATGAAGAGAAAGAAAAAGTTAAAGCAGAAAATGGATTTCAGGACAATTACAGTGTTGTTGTTGCTTCTGGTATGTTGGGGGTTTTTTTCTACCTTTTAAGTAATGGATCTTTCTCATGCTAAAAGTGTGTGTGGGGAAGAAAATATCTACCAACAATTAATTTTACTACTAATAATGGTTACAAAAATTGTAGTACCAGTTAATGTAACTGACTGTTAGGCGACTACGATTGGTTTCTGGTAGAACAGCTGCTTCTAGCAGATGATACACTTTGACAAATTTGTATCTAAGTATGTGTGTCAGTGATATCTTCATTAATGCTGTTGCTAGGATATTTTACAGGATTCTATAAAGACACAGCTGGAACTTGGTGGGTATTATTACCTCTACCTTCTTGCAGTAGCTGGTGCATCATTATTTAATCACGTGTACTCCCAAAGTACGCTTTGGAAATAAAAGGATCCATATACTTTGCGTAACAACTGGTGGTACTCTGCTAAAAACTGTCACATGCAGATGTAAGCATAAAACCATTCCACTTGGAAGCAACAAATACTGGAGTTTCTTCCAAAGCATTCACCTTCTAAAAACTAATGTGAAGAACCTTCTGAAATCTTTCATGTAAACCATTTTCCTCCAAAACTACTGTTGAAGGATATAGATTGAATATCGTAATTTTTCAGTGGTATTCAAAGATTACAGTTCAGACGACAGCTGTAGAGGTTGTTAGTCTTTCAGTTTGAGGTTCTGGGGAGTGTATCTGTGAGAGAGAGATTAATGAACTTCAAGCTATTCTTTTCCTATCTGGCTTTCTGCCTTCATTGAGGTACCTCAAGTTCATTTACACTTCATGAAGCATGAAGGAGAGATGCTGATTTCCTTTGACTTTTGGCACCAATATTTCTTAAGCTTTTTATTTCAGCTCTTTAGATATAGATATAACTTTTAACTCAAATGTTGAATAGGGCAGCAGTTTTGTGGATCTTGGTATATGTTTAAAGCAACATATCTGATGTTAATTACAGCACCTTTATCTGACCAGGTATTTACAGTAGGTGCCACTTAAACATGGTAAACATGTTTTAGGAATATCTAAACTATTAATAGGTGCAAGCAAAGGGTTAAAACATGAGTAAAGAATCTAAGAAGAAAGAAAAATACTATGCCAACCTTGAAAATAGGACATAGCATAGTCAGTCATATGTCATCCCAACTGCATTTCTAATTCTACTGCCTGATATAGCCCATTACATATTAGAAAGAAGCAGATTTAAGTTTTTTTCTTATTTTGATTCTAATTTTTTCCAGTTAAGTAAAAGAGTTTAAATGTAAACTTATTTCATTTGCATTTGTTTTTACTACCTGTTTGTGAAATCTTTTCTTATTTTGTCATTGATTTTTCATATGTTCTGGGGATTTTTTAGTGTCCTCAGAGTCTCATGTAACCAGTGTTTAACTATTTATATATTGGTAGAATTAATAGAGAGCAAAGGTGGTATTTGGAGCCTGATCTTCCTGAAGTAAGCTACTTTAGTATACTGAGATTATTGGAGAATGCATTGTGTATTTGAGCTGCTCCTAAGGATCAGCTGAAACCAGAGTGTATTACAGCATTTCAAGTGTGGATGTTTAGTCTTGCAGTTGCTCTTGGATAATGATGTCAGTAATTGTGTGTGTCTTTGGATCTTGGCCTGCTGGCTTTCTAACTTTGTCTGTCACCTGCTTACAAGGGTACATGATTGTAGTATAATTTTGCTGTACTTTAGGTCAACTTAAGCTGTGTCAAAATAAGACAGTCTTGCTATGTAAGGTCAGTAAGCTTTTATGTAGCTATTCTGCCTTATAATTTTCATGTAGTGCTTACTTCAAATGTTTTGAGCTAGGCAACTTTAAAAGCACATTTAAAAACACCTTTCATTTCATTTGGTACTGTCAGTACTGCAGCTGAAGTCGCCTTCATAGGCCAGACAAGTCTTGTTATCTGTCTGTATGTCTGTCAATTTGAAAAATTTTGCCTTTCTTGCTTTCAGTTGAAAAGACAACTTAAAGAAGTTCTATTGTAGGGCCCATTATGAGACACACTTTAACTAGAGCAGAATCAAAATGGCTTTTGCTTTTTTTATGGATGATATCATCTAGTACAGTTATGGTGTATGTTTAGGGCTTAGGAGAATGCACAGCCTCTAACTGTAAAAATACTAGGATTATATCCAAATATATTTTATACATGAATGCTATTCTGGTATTTAATTAGCCAGTGAGGTAAAATTCTACTTTTTTTCTATCATTGAAGGTACTGACTACATTGTATCTTGGCTAACTGAAGGTATTAAATACTAGAACAACTTTTGATTTTTTTTATTTTCATACTAGGTTTGAAATCTCAGTCAAAAAGAGCTGTTTCATCCACCCCTCCACGTCCACCATCAAGGCGAGGAAGAGTGATGGCAGATAAAGTAGGTGCGTCTTCCTCAGGAGGAGAATCTTCCAGCAAGACCATTAGTGTTCCAGTCTTTAATCTTTACCATAAACTTCTACCAGGTAACTTTAATAATGCATTTTAAACACCAAAATTATGTTTTTTTCAGTGGCTGATACATCATCAGGAAGTAGTTACAATGCTAATGGACATCTTTATCTTTCTATTGAGCGTCTTTGAAGTGTGGAGCCCTTCTGGGCTTGTAACAGCTTTCAGCTGGAAAGCATTATAGCCTTTTCAACTGCAGCATTATAGCGTCATAGTGGCTTGAAAAAAATAACAATTATGTTGATCTTCCTTGAAGTTTAGTTCCTTGTTCCTAAACTAAATCTCAAAAAGTTTCCACTTTCACTCACAAATGAAAGCAGGGTGGGTTTGTAAGGTGACTCACACTTTCTACATTTTCTTTCACCTGCAAGACAGAACTGAACTGGTATTAGTGCCCTGTTATTTCATGTTCTGAATGGGCAACCAACTTGCATTGCTCTCTGGAAGGTTGATTTGCCAGTTCAGAAATATTCTTGAATTCCATAAAATTTGTGTTTTAAAAAACAGCATGTCCCAAGCAGTTAGTCATGTTTTACATATAGCAGATATGTTCTCACATTTTTATGAGCTATCCAGACAAAGCTGGTGGCAAGGTTGGCAATCTCTCTTGTATAGAGAGAGATTGGTGTGACTGATGTGACTTAGATCAGGAAAAAAAGGACAGAAACATGCATGCAACACTTCAATATTATGCAGAAGAGCTTCTATCTGTTTTATAGAATAAAAACAAGGAACCAGCTAATGGAATTAAGTGCTTAAATTCTGATCAAAGTAATTTTCACCCCATAAAATCTTAATTTGAAACTTACTACCAAATTACTGGCTTTGAGGCTATCCTGACAACTATTAGGGGGATCATATACTTGGATTAAAATATCTAAAATTGATAGGCTAAACCTGGTGGGATGAATCCTGTGATTGGTGTGCCATGATGGATGGTTACAGGCTCTTCAGGAGTGATAAGGAGGGCAGGTGACCATGAGGCACAGCATCGCAACCCGGTCTAGGCAGTAGGTTGTCCCACTCTGCTCTGCACTGGTGCGGCATCACCTTGAATATTTTGTGCAGTTTTGGGCACTGTAATATAAGAAAGATATTAAGCTGTTAGAGAGTGTCCAAAGGAAGGCAACGAAGATGGTGAAGGCCTTGAGGGGAAGCCATGGGAGGAGCAGCTGAGCTCACTTGTTCTGTTCAGCCTGGAGGAGACTGAGGGGAGACCTCATTGCTGTCTACAACTTCCTTGTGAGGGGAAGAGGAGGGGCAGGCACTGATCTCATTTCTGCAGTGCCCAGTGACAGGACCTGAGGGAATGGCCTGAAGTTGGGTCAGGGGAGGTTTAGGTTGGATATTACAAAATATTTTTCTCCCAGAGGGTGGTTGGGCACTGGAACAGTCTCCCCAGGGAAGTGGTCACAGCACCAAGCCTGACAGATTTCAGGAAGTGTTTGGACAATGCTCTCAGGCACATGGTGTGATTCTTGGGGCTGTCTTGTGCAGGGGCAGGAGCTGGACTTTGATTGTTATAAGTCCTTTCCAACTCAGGACATTCTATGATACTGCAGTTTTGGAGACAAGATCAAAACCCACTGCCTGTTTTCAGTATCTAGCTGGTAAAGGTAACTGCTGATGGTAATGTAGAACATTCTGTGTTTGTGATCTGGTTGGTCATGTCTTGTGCAGCAGACAGTTGTTACAAAAAAATGAACCATGCAAAGCAGAATCAGTGATGGCAAAAAGGGCATGAACTTGCACAATGGCAAGGCACTTTCAATTTTTATTTTCAGACACTATCTTCAGTTGAAGAAACAGTCTGTTACTAAAGACCTCTTGGATGTTGTGTTACTTAATAAAGTGCAGTCAGGATGAAATGGGCGTGCTCCATTTAAAATATTTCATGTGTAAGTCTATTTTTTGTCAAGAAAAAATTATTCTGCCTTCAGAGTAACTTGTAATTTCAGGGAAGAACATATTCATAATCAATGAAGTGGCCAAAACCTGGAGCTGAGTAATCAGTTTGGACTGTATTGCATGTGCATTTCAAGTCTACATTGCAGCTGAGAAAAGTATTCCTGGCAGTGCCCTTCATTTTTCTTGCTGCGTAGTGAGCTATGCTTGAGACCAATAGGACTGAAGAAGAATTGCAGGTTTCTGTGGTTTTCAGTTTTTTCCACATCAGCCATTTTATTTTATGGTCACACACATCTCTGCCCTCACAATTCAAAGGTGATGTGTAGGTGGTGTTTAAGAGGAGGGGACAGCCAGTACTCACTTAAAATGCACATCAAATTACAGCCTTAGCCATTTGTTAAATATGACAAGTGCTTGGTCTCTCAGTATAGAGCTGCCTTAGGTAATGTTGGCATAGATCTTTCTAAGGATTGGTTCCAAGCTGATGGGACCCCTTTTCAAAAGAGAACAAATGGTAAAATTAAGGCCTTGGTTTGGAGCCAGATAATATTTAGTCTACTTGGCATCTATGATGCAAGTAATGAACAGCACCTGGATATGTATGTTAAAAGAACCCAATCAGAATTTTCCTCTCTGACTTGATGCCATTGTTGTTTAGGTCAACCATTACCAGCTGAAATGACACTTGCCCAGCTTCTGACTCTGCTGTATGACCGTAAACTCCCTCAAGGATATCGATCGATAGATTTGACAGTTAAACTTGGTTCCAAAGTCATCTCAGATCCAAGCTTATCAAAAACAGACTCATTTAAACGTCTTCACACAGAAAAAGGTGAGTGTTCTTACTTTTTTTGTATATTCCTTTTTAAAATGTTTTTATTTTGGACAAAAATTGTTTTGATTTTCTTGATAAGAAGTAGCAGTTTTCTGTATTTTATTGAATGAGTTTCCTGAGCCATTCTTTTCTAGACACATGCTAAACTTCATGATAAAGTACAAATTCATTGCCTGTCTAGATTATATCTATAAGATAGACCAATACAGTTGTTCTGGTTTCACTTTTATTTTCCTTGTTGTAGTGTTGTATGCGATAATGATTATATGATTTTATAGATACAGTATATTTTATTTCTTGACATGTATAGTAGTTCTCTGTAGTAAGTGTTTGTCCTGATAATCAGAGCAGATTAAGTAAAACAAGAGTGGTTTGAAACCATACAAGTTATAGAAGCCTGTGAAGTTCTTTATTGCAACATCTTTGGGTACCTAATGCTGCTTTGAAAATGGTGATTTCTCTCAAGCCCATCTAAGCAGGTCTTATAACTCCAGCTTTTAAAAACATCATTTTTAACATTTTCTAATATGGTCTATTTCTTGATAATGTTTTTGCCAATTGCTTGCAATCTACTTACTGGGAAGGTGCTGGGAAACGAGAAGGGAGGAGCTGTATCCCAAGAATTTGTTTTGAAATATTTTTATATCATTCCTTTAGGCAAGGACTTAGAGAAATGGGACCTTGAAATTAAGCTAATTGTGATCTGCTTATCATCAGCCTGCTGACACAGCATGAAATTCCAAAGTTAATCATTCAGCTATTTCAAGACAGAGGCTCCTTTTAATAACTGTTCACTTGATAGTCTGTTTCTAGAAAAGATAAGAAACAAGTGCTGAAAAAAAAAACCTAATTTTTTTGATATTTGGCCTGAAGTAAGTATTTCACGACTCCATATAGTGGCTGGATATACAGATCTCTCGCTGTACTGAGAGACCATTCTTTTTCAAATAATATTTTTGTTCTGTTTTGCGAATTATTTAAACTCTAAACCTAGAATAGATATATTACTATTTAAATAAAACTCAAAAATCATTAGAGGAGATTCAGTTTAGTAGTTGAGTTGCATGCGAAGACTTGAAGGTCCTCTGAACTTCTATTAAATTATTAGGCACTTTTTTTTTAAACTTGAGATGAATACATGGATCTACCATCACTGACAAGAGCTATCACTAATACTTTTATTTTCTTTTGACGTTCTTGCCCTCATTCATTTCAAGTTCTTGGCTCAGGTTTTCCTTGTGAAAGAACCAATACTTCTGAAGTTCACTTTTAAGTGAGAACAAAAAAATAAACACAGTATGGATGATGATGTATTAATTTCTTTTACCTCTGTGTTTTTGTAGAGCATGCAGATTTACTGGGACCTTGCCCTGAAGATGAAGCCATCAGTCCTGGGGATGAGTGTATGGATGCAGTTCTAGATGAATCGCTTCTTGAAACCTGTCCCATTCAGTCTCCACTGCAAGTGTTTGCAGGCATGGGTGGATTGGCTCTTATTGCAGAGAGACTTCCTATGCTTTATCCTGACGTAATTCAACAAGTGAGTGAAAAAAATAAGTGTCAGAACACGTTGAGAGTATTTTGTTTGTTTGTTTAAGGACAATATTTTCCTTCTATTTCTCCATGGTTCAGTTTAACATCTCAGTTGTGTGGGGAAGCTGCTTCAAAATAAGCAAGTGTATAACTCTACAGCCCAGTCCAGATATACAGGTTACTTCTCTGTAGTTGCCATAGGCTGCTTGTGTGGCCATGTCCTGGTGGGACAAAGTCATGAATTGGTTGCTGTTTGCCTTGGTTCTGTTAGGTCATAAAATATCTTGGAGGGTACAGTAACATAGGGTTGCTGAAGTACTATAAAGGTATACTTGCTTATCATGTAATTGCTCATGTAAATGTACCCTGAGAGATATTTCTATGGTTAAGTTAAATTCTGTACTATGAATCTACTATGTAACTTTATTTTAGATTTATTATTATAAATAATAAATAACAGTGTAATCCTAATTATATTCATAAATAATATATGCATTATTTATTTGTATACTTATATAGAGAATTTCTTTGGAGGCACTGATACGCATTTCAAAAGCGTCAGCAGTGGCATTAGTCTGGAATTACTGTTTGACTGTTGTTCAAGGTACACAATGTTTGCTAAAAAGGGAAAAAATAACCTGTGAATTATTCAAATTCTATTTGACTATATGTTTGAAGTCTTTGGCTGATACTGTTAACAGGAAAGAATATTTATTCCCTTTGAAACTGAATTAATCATAAATTAAGGGTGCTGTTCAGTACCCTGTCTGTAAAATTATGACAGCAATAGGAAGCCTGTAGTGAAACTGGGTAATTAGTATGCATCCTTTGTAAATAGTTCTGCAAAGGTCTTTGAGGTCTAGTACCAAGGCAGTTCAAAAATTAAAAGTTAAGGAAATGTGTTAACATAAACAGTTACTGTATTATGAAATCCAAGAGAGTTAATGTGTACTCTGCATTAAAGAAAACTGGTACATGGAATTCTGCAACAGATAAAAGGCAAAGTATGACCATGAGAGGTTTCATTTCTTTTTTTCCTTCTTTTTCTATAGTCCCAGGAAGTTATTATCTTTTCACAGTTTCTTAGCTTGAGATGTATGTTTGGATTCAAATAATGAGTAAGAATTCTGTGATCCATAAAAACAAATTAAGTACAATAATACCAAATAGAATATTCAGAGTGAATACTGATGATTTCTCCAAACCCTTAATACTTTAATTTTACTTTTATATTTCTCTAAGTCACGGGTACTTCTGATTCACTTAATGTGTAGATGATTGGAATGAATGCAGCAAAACATGGCTTTGACTTTAAATTAGGAATTTGGTATTCTGGATAAATTCTGCAAGGGCATTTCAGATTAATCTTTTCCAGTTTAGATCAGTCTGGTGATACGTACTAAAATTTTAAATATGATTGAATCAGTTTATCTGAATAGTGTGAAAGCCTGAAAATTCTATAATGTTTAATTATGAGAGGGACCTCGGTGTCATACCTTCCTTAAAATTATTTGACTGTGTCTTGGGGCACTGTACAACTGTTACCCCTTAAACTCTGATTCCCATCATAGTGCCTGATTGCATAGTCCTCAGGTCATAAAACAGACTGTTCTGTTAGAGTACAATAGTAATAAAGCCTGACAAATCAATTGAAAGGATCATGAGTTGCTGTAAGACTGCTAAGAGGTACAAATTTATTCTTAGTTTTTAAAGACCTGATAATGAATTTTGCTTCATTTTTGCAGTATGTCGTTAAAAATTAAACACTTGAGTTCACCATCAGTGTTTAATGTTAAAATTAAAAGAAAATAAAAGGACCATTTATCAGTCTGATAACAGTCTGATAAATAAACTAATCATTGTATTGTTTACTTCAGTGTAATTTGTGTCTCCTATGCCTCTATGTTTTAAGCAACATGCTTTAATTGAGGATTTTAGGTTGGTAAAATGCATTTGCTTGCTTGCTTGTGTAGGCAGGACTTTCTAGCACTGTATGGAAGGTGCAGCAAGTATGCGCTTTTCGGCCATTTAGCCTGGTCCCTTTCTGTGCAAATGGTAGTGTGTTTCATGTGACATCTTTCTTGTGTCCTGTATTAAAATTGCATGTCCTTTAGATCCTAACTGCAATAAATTTTTGTCTAAGGTGTTTAACTGAATGACTGGCAAATTTCTTTGTTGTTTTTGTTGGTTAAGGTGAGCACTCCAGTGGTTACATCGGCCACGCAGGAAAAGCAGAAGGACAGTGATCAGTTTGAATGGGTTACCATTGAACAGTCGGGGGAATTGGTGTATGAAGCACCGGAAACAATTGCTGCAGAGCCCCCACCAATCAAGTCAACAGTTCAGACTATGTCTCCCATACCTGCACATTCTTTGGCTGCCTTTGGTTTATTTCTTCGTCTCCCGGGCTATGCTGAGGTGCTGCTAAAAGAACGGAAACATGCTCAGTGTCTGTTGAGATTGGTGTTGGGAGTTACAGATGATGGTGAAGGAAGTATGTGCTGCAATTATTACCTTTTTTTGTAGACCACAGCTAGATCATTTTACTTAGATTTATTTACACCATATTACCTTCAGCAGAAAGTTAGAATTGGTTTGCGCAGAACTGTGTTGCTAGAATCTTTGATGGTCTGTTGTTTCTAAATATTAAATTCTTGCTGGCAAAGTTTTATCACAATCATCAGTACTCAAGTGTTCTCATCTAGACATCAGAGTAATTGTAAAATAACTGCTGATTAAACTTACAATGACACTGTCAGGATGATTGTGTTCAGACAAAACTATCTGAGTAGCTGGATATGCTCAACCAATTGACCAAACATCCTATAATTCTGCAACCAAATGGAGAAAAATATGGATAGGAACATTGCTACAACAGATGTAGAATAAACTGTTTAATAATACTGTTTTGAAAAAGGAGAGAAAAATCTAAACATCACAGTGACCAAATTGCCTAAGCAGGATCTCTACCTTTATGGTGTGAGTTTGGAGGGAGAAGTAGGGTATTCTTCAGTGAATGGACAAGCTAAACACAATTTGTAGTTGGTGTCTTTGCAACTGAACCTGCAACTCTGCATATAGTTCTAATATTTCTGTTTCTTACTGTTTTGAAAAACTAGAAGAGTGTGTATGAAATATGGTTTAGTATGTTTAAGACACTTCCTTTCATTGGACATGGCTTTGTGATGAAATCAGGCAGTGTTAGGTTTACAGTTGATGATGTCAAGGGTCTTTTCCAGCCTACATGATTTCATGATTATGACTTTGAAAAGAGGTGCTGTTTTTTCTAGGCTGCAGTCATCTGAACTTAGTCTCTATTTAGCAGTCTATAGAGTGGTGTGCAACATGTACCTCATGAGACCAGCTGAAAAGATCGAGCCTCATTTACCCTTCCTTCTGTTTATCTTTTTATTTCTCTCATACATATTTGTAATGTATTTCAGTTTAGACATTTGGATGATGATATGGCTGATAAACTCTAAGAATGAGGGAGAAAATAATGTATGTAAAATTAGAAGGAAACTTCTGAATGGAGTTGGCTATTTCAAAGTATTTTTAGTAGTTGAAGCATTTCCAGTTGTCAACTGTCTCTATTTACATATGCCCTGAGGGAGGAATGTGGAATATATTGTTAAATACTGTTTCCCAAATCTGAGTATGTTCCATTAATAGGTCACTCCATTATTTGAAATGTGGATTTTAAAAGAAGTAATTTTTGCTCATAGTGCAAAGGAGTTAAAAATTTTAAATAATTCTAGTACAAAATTCAAACATGCAACTCATCTACTTATAATTATGTTAGTATTTCACCACGTATTCAACTTGAATAGCATCACTGCTTGGTCTGTGTAAGTGAGTTAATTCCCACTTTGGGCACATAAATACAAAAAAGAATCCTACATCATGATAAACTAGAGCTCCTTGTCAGCTAAGCTGCTATCAGCTGATTACGTGCATTCTTTAATTTGCTGTATTTGGAATGTTTAAAAGTAAATATATATATACATATATATATATGTGTAAAATTATTTTGAACTGCCTTCCAAAACAGTTTTCTCCCTAGAAATGGTGAATCAGATTTTTTAAATTTGGTTCTTAATGAAATCCATGAATAAAATAAAGAAACATTCTTTCTTCCACACTCTCCTTGTTATGAAATTTTTTTGTGAAGAGAAACCTAATATTAGATAGCTTGATATATGCAAATGCTTAAGTTCTTAGTAGATTTCTGTATGTTCATAAACTATTGCAGACATTTATAGGCTGTGTTGAACTACTCAACGAAAGTGTGGTTTTGATGTTTTTCTTCTTCAATCTAGGTCATATCCTGCAGTCTCCTTCAGCAAATGTGCTTCCAACTCTACCCTTCCATGTGTTGCGCAGTTTGTTCAGCACTACACCGTTGACTACTGATGATGGAGTATTGCTTAGGCGGATGGCACTGGAGATTGGGGCTATACACCTCATCCTTGCTTGTCTGTCTGCTCTAAGCCACCATGCACCAAGGGTGCCCAACTCTAGTCCCAACCAGGCAGAGGTATGTTTATCAGCAGAGTATGTGCCACTGAGAAGTAGTAAGAGTTCTAACTATAAAAAACAAAATAATCTCATTGCTTTCATTATAAGCTAATTTCTGCAGACTTGGCATTTGACTGAAGAACAAAAATAGTTATAAAGTACTCGATCAAGTAATTGTCCGTGCATGTTGCAAATAAACATAGTAATCATGAAATATAACCAACAAAGAAACCTTGTCATGAGGCATTAAGGTGTAATCACTTCTTTCACAGGACATTCTTTTTTGGTGCATGAGAGGCGTAATGTCCAGTGGATGGTGGTTCTTTAATCCCCATTAGATAGCATAACCTCATTGTCTACATTCATCATCTAAACTCTACTGATTGCGAATTATTTCCTTTTAAATGCTTCACAAACATAAATGAGTTGTGAAAATTACTGAATTAATGCAGTGATTTTTGTTACACCGTTTGCACTGATAGGGAAATGAGATCTAAGGACAAAAAATTTCCATAGTGTTCAAGATCACTAGTGAATCTCCAAAATTGAAGTTTTTCAAGGTACTTCCCATATTATACCACCCTCTATTCCGAACACGGATCCCTTGATTTTTTTTTTTTTAAGATTGTGAGTTGCCATTTCTGTATAACATACCAATTGTCTATAAAAGTGTTTAAAGAAACCTTAATGACTTGCCCTCTTTAGCACTGTTTTAGCAGATGCTTGCATGCAACAGTTTCTGGTGGCTGAATATGGGTAAGTAGCTGCAAAATATAGGCCTGTCTCTATTTTAGCAGCTCTGATATTGATGAAAGGTTGAACAAGCGAGATATGAAGCTGTGCCTGAGAATAAGTCACTTTAATGTCTAATCAGATTTAAGGGGAAGTTGACAGATTCTGCTTCTAATGGGGTATCAGGCTGCTGATACGTTAATACCTTAGCATTTTTGCACATTTAGAGGGAAAGGGCAACCATTAATTCTTATCTCTGCTTTAGTTCTACCATGAACCCTGGAATAGCTTTCCTTCTCGTAAGTCATATCTATCAAGTGATAGATGGTAACTTGAAACTAGAGATCCATCAGGGCTGCACCGAGGCTTGTATTTCTGGGGCCAGGTTCTCCCGTAAGTGCTTTAATTCAGTGCTCACGACAGTCCTCTTGAGTGTTAAAGACACAATATATTCGTCAGTGACGTAATGAGTAATATCTACATGAGAATAACCACACAGCTTTTTCATCACCAAGATGCATCACATTCCCAATGTAAAAGTTAGAAGATTATTCCAGACTATTGTCACTACCATACTTAACAGACGATAACTTCTTTTACCGTTGCAGTCTGTTCATACATCATTTCTTTTCCTTCAAGTGTAATCTTTAGCAAAGTCACTGAAGAAGATCTGAACAGAAAATGAAACTTTTCAGAGCTATAAATCAAATATTGCAAAATAAAGTTGGGCACCTACTCATGTGACCTGGTTTCCAGCTAATTGTCACCAAGTGACAATTTTCACCAGAGTCCTGGTAAACTATCAAAATTAGCATAAATTCTTAAATAGTTTCATAAGGGCTAAGCAATATAATATTGGATTTATGTTAGTAAAATGCACTGAGATAGACCATTGGAAAAAACTGTACAAGCACTGATGGAAAAATGCTATCTCATAACATTTTAAGGACAAGATATTTCCCACCTCTTATCTAGAGAGGAAATAGTGTGTATTTTGGTGACTCAGAGATCATGTGTCAGAGCTATACAGGTAACGTATTCCTCTTACTGGTTTGGAGCATTTATTCAAAATCAGCAAATGCTTAAGCATCCTGGTGTTTCAGTTATCTGCTCTTGAGAACATTTCCACTCCCGTCTTCTTCATCTTATGTTATTAGACTTGACTAGATGTTAAACAGTAATAATTACAGAGCTACAACATTTAGCAGGATATTGATTAAAGATATTTTAATACCTTTCATCATATAAACAGGAATAGTATCTTAAAAGAGAACAAAAATGGGCTTACAGTTCTAGTCAAATTGAAGAATCCCTTCCAAGAATTTAGTGCTGACTTGTAATAGAACTCCATGTACATGGCAGCCTTTCCTATCTAAAGCTTTGAATTTCACTGGATCCTGATGATATCTTTATAAAGTTAATAAATTGGGATTATGTTCTTTTGCAGAACGAAGGCTTTTTAAAAACAATGTTCCTAAGATGAAAACATGAAATAATTGTGACTTTTTTTTTTTTAACTTAGCCACAGGTGTCAAGTACACACAATAGTGCATCAACAGAAGAACAGCAGTTGTACTGGGCTAAGGGTACAGGCTTTGGAACAGGCTCCACAGCTTCAGGATGGGATGTTGAACAGGCTTTGACTAAGCAAAGGCTAGAAGAAGAGCATGTGACCTGCCTTCTACAGGTGTGTAACAATGAATTTTTGATTAACGATAAGCACTTGAAGCATTAGGACTCAATAGTAAAACTGGAGTTTTGTCAGTCAAATACCAGAGTGATTATGATATTTTGGGAAAAAAATATTTACAATCACCTGTCTTTGTGAAAAATTATATAGATCATATTTTGAGAGAGGCCATTTTCAAACATTACTAGGCTGCTGCATAAAAGGTCTCTGGGTAACGGTTCTGAAAGAAAGTGAACCAAGAAGCATTCCAGTGTATTTCCCTGGAGCTGTCACTATCTCTGTCAAAATCACTGTACTCAGTCAAAAGTAACGACTGTCCACTAAAGGAGAAGGATACAGGAATAGGCATTTTGCTTTGTGTACCAAACAGTGTTGCCTGTTAATTTCCTGCATATTTTTGCTCTGCTTTAAGGAAATGCTTATAGTTGTTACTGGTGTCCATGAATGTGTTATACCACTATAGCAAAGTCTTACTCAGAGATACTATGAAATCTTGACTATGTCAATTACATGACAATAGTAAATCTCCAGTAAACATCCAGATTTCAGTAAAACTCTGATGTCTTCCAAATGCCTCATGCTAAGGAGAAGAAAATCCTGCATAATTAGACTGTTCAGTCCATTGTGAAATGCAACCGATCCCTATTATCTTGGATCAGTGTAGGGAATATAAGATTGTATCTAGTCATCAAAAATTTAATTCACAGAACCATCAGCTCAAATGCATTAGCTAACCTCATTGCTGAGGTAGAGCACAAAGGAGATGAAATTCTGAAAATGCCCGTACCTTGATTGGTGAAGATATCATTTTGATGTAATTAGTTATTTCGGTCGCTATAGATTACATGGCAGAAGTATCACGTCCCTTGCAAAAGCATAACAAATAAATTTTGAAACCATTTCCTAAGCAAGAAAGGGGAAATTGCACCTGAATTACTCTCAATGAAGCTTCTAAGCAGTATTTTGTATTATGCCAGGCAGGGGTTTGGCTGTAACTGTGTCAAACTGTGAAGTAAAGAGGCATTTTGTTGAAAACAAAACCCTTCAGCATTTTGTTGAATATGTCAGTCAGTTGTACAGCAAAGTTTCCTTCGTCCCTTCTATAGAAAGATTTAGAAAAATTCTGTCGTATGGAGTGCTGGTAAGATGCTGCAGCAAAATAATGGGATAATGGGGTTAGAAGAAAGAGTGAGAATGAAAGAAAAGAGGCTAAAAGGGTGAATAGAGTCCCTGAGACTTCAAGTAATATAGCCTTTCAAGCCTCAAAGTTTCTTAGTTTTAGAGTACAGCTGCACAAATCGGACCCATGGAAATGTGTTAGGTTGTACGCCTACAACACATGGTAAGGGCCTGTGGGCCCAGCCCGAACTACCCCTGGGACAAGTAGGTGTGCAGTCGTGAGGTGACTTACCGCCGACACTAAGGGGAAGATTGCTCTTTGTTTGCTGAGGTAAGAGCTGTACACAGGAGTATTTGTTCCTCCAGGTACCTGTCATGGTCACCATAAGTTATTGTTCCATCTGTAAACTCTGAAGTCCCAACCCCAAAGGAAGTTACAAAAATTTTTGAAACATTTGCAATTAAAAAAAAAGAAAACACACACACACAAAAAAAGTCTTCTCTTGCCAGTTGGTGTTCCTTGTGCTCTAAAGTAAAAGGGACTGGTCAGCTGCATGTCTCAGTGATCTGAGCTGGCAAACTCTTTCTTTGAGTAACTCCAGCAGATTTGTCAAAATTCATATTAGTTGATATCCTAAAATCATTCAGAATTATAATAAGTTATTTAATTTTATCATTAGCCAAAGTTTAAATTTAATGACTGTATAGAATTTCTTCTGAGATATCTTTGGTACTGCTGTAATAAATGCCAGTACTGAATTAGCAAAACAGCTAGTGAAGTGTTAGGGCTTCTTCCTTAAGGGAGGAAACTCAAAGTTCTTTTGATTGAAATAAGTCAGTTTTGATTAAATATTTGGGTGTGTTTCAGGTTCTTGCCAGTTACATAAATCCTGCAGGAAGTGCATCAAATGAAGAGACCCAAACTAGCCATGAGGGGAGAGCACAAAACAGCAGCGCTCTTCCATCCGTTCTCCTAGAGCTACTCAGTCAATCTTGCCTCATCCCAGCAATGTCATCATACCTCCGCAACGATTCGGGTAATGTGCCTTTGTCTTCTTCAAAATTCAAGTTGACTTACTGCTGTCAAACAAGTTTTTATATAAACTTATTAAAAATGGGTAGTTCTTGCTAGTTTCAGTGCCCTCGCCAATTTAGAATTGTACTAATTGAACATTTACTTCAACCTTAGAAAACAGAATAGAATCATATAATAGAATCATACTTGTTGAAATGCTCATTTCTCTCTTTAAATTTGGAGTTTAATTCTTTGATATTGAAACTAACAGGAAGATGATATTTTCTTCTGAAAAGTTTACATGTTAGTTCTTCTATGGAAGATACATGTGGAGAGAGTACTTTATGCAAAACCATTAATCTTATTGTGAAGAAAAATGTTAATTTTTAAAGAAAATTGAGCAAGCATGTGCTTGAATTTGGTAAATGTTGCACATGCTGGGGCAGTTCTACTTTGATCAGAGCTTTTTCTTCTTTATTTAGGAAATACACAAATAAGCCTCTTACCAAAACTGGAAGATATTTCAAATATATGGGAACAATTAAGTTGTTGGGTTTTTTAAAGGAAAAACAAATGAGTTCTATGTTGTCATCAAATTTCTACTCATAATTTCAAAACAAAGATGTTTTGATAGTTTTGATCTGATATGTTGTACCTTGCTGTGGAAACCATTTCGGTTGTATAAGGTGGCATGGAGCAGTACAAATTAAGGAAATGCCTCTGTGGAACGAATGGCAAAACCAGCAAACTCGATTTGTGGTTTATGTTCAGTCTCACTAGATGACAGACTTGAGTATGAAGATGAACCTTAGGTTGGATTTTTGTTCAGTTACTTTTGTTTAGATGGATTTAATTCTGAAGTATCAGAAGGAGTTGTTCCAAATCTGAATAATTTGGTTTTGGACCTTATTTTGCTTGCCCTATTTTTGGAGTAACTGATAAATGTCTTGTCACATTACTGCAGTTCTTTTGGATGCCAGTTGGAGAGTTTGGTGATGTGAATTCATGAAACAATGTTATAGCTTCTTCTTGAATTACACAATATATTTTATGTCAGAGGTAAAAGAGAAATCATCTGTCTTAAGTATTTGTAAAGCTACTTAGGACTAAAGTAAGAATGGCTCCCTTAATTTATAGTAACTAGGGCATTACATAATCTTGTATGATGGAATGGAACTAGTTCAAAACTTCTACTAGGGTATTATAGTAAAAATAAAAATATGAAGGTGTTTCACTTGCTAGTCCACAGTTTGACACCTCTCCCTAGTTTTGCAATGAATTTATTGGTTCTATTTTGCAGTGAGGAAAATGAACTAATGATATACCAAGATCATTATTGCAAATGAAAATACAATGTAAAACAATAAAGTAAATGATAAAGTAAAAGAATGAAGTAATCTTTCTAACAGATACTCATAAATTCTTCTCTGTTGAGGTAAAACGGAAAAGTCATTGAAAGGCCTAGCAAAAATGATGTGTTATCTAAAGGATGAAGCTGTTGGTCCTGAGTTATAGATGAATCACAGCTGTTGAAATTGCTTTTTGCTGTTTTCAATAGAAGAATGTATCTCTCTATATAAGTCACCTTTAACTGGGGAAGAACAGTCAGATACTGATACAAGAGATGAGATATGTGGCTGTTGGCGAGAAGTTCAGACTAGTTTGGCTTTCAGGTACCATTTGTTTTCCCAAAGTACAAAGAAACGGCAAAGTTTCAGTGAGAAATATTCATTTTAGGTATGTTTTCCATTGTAGGACTACTGTTGTTTGTAGTTGGCAGGGGATGTTGAAATGCTGTGCCTGTGAATTAACAATTAGTAAAGAGTGAACAGCACTTAATGTAGCAGCTAAACTATATTAAAACAAAGCAAAACCTTGCTTCTCAGAGAAAAAAAATGAAAACTAGTCTTCTGAATACAAATTCACAAAGGATGTGGTTATTTCTATTGAAATTTAGAACTGGAAATCTGAGGGTTGTTATGTGAATGTTTCCTGCTGCATTTGTTTAAAAGTCTATACATAAAACTATGATTAACAATGTTCTCCTGGATTTAAAAAATAATAATAACTTTGCAGGCATATATCAGTCAAGCTCATCTTTGACACTGCTGTAGGATACCAGTGTTAGAGGGAAATTGCAAAAACGATGACTTCTGGAGAGATCATGTTCTCTCAGTTAATATTTGAGCCAGATGCATTTAGTTGGAAAGGAGTCCCTGAAAACAGTTTGTCTTAGTGATAATATGCGAGGCATAATTCCAATGCAGTAATTACTGTTCAGTGGAAAAGCAGACAGATAATTTTCACATTAATGAGTGCAAGTTGCACGTGATGTGATCAGTGTCACTAATATTGAGTGTCAGGAGACACAGCTAACACAAGCAAGACAGAGGTTGAGAAGCTCTGAAGTTATGTTAAGCTCTGGTACAATGCTTGTAAGACTGAAAATTTCACTTAATGTCTTAATAGTTGAAACCTTTCAAATATGGAAATTACTTTTTTATTAGTAGTATTATTTTTATTTCTTTTTTAAAACCTTGAAGACCAATGCAATGTAGTGGAATAGATTTGAGTCTTTCCTGATAGACCTTTATCTAATTTCTGGCTTCTCTGTCTTGAATACCTGTCTCTTCTCTGGTAGGGCTGAATAGGAACCTGGGGAGAGTAGGAAAGGGAACAACATCACTAGTAATGTGCATGTACATGGTATTCTAATTTTCATACTGGTGCAACTTCTGCTGTCAAGAGGTACTTCCGTGTGGAAGAAGCAGGTGACTCTATTTTTCCTGTAACATGCTAGTCTGAGAAATTAGGATACTGCATATAGAATCCTAACAGAATGTTCCCAGGTTCTGGCACCCCAGTGGCAACAAGCTGTGCCCAGCACAATGGTAACAGAAATTAGCAATTTTCAGCACGTCTGTAACTTTGTCAGACTTTAATGGGTGCTAGTGGGACCAGTTGAAGGTTAGCCTTATGCTGAAGGTATTCTTCTACTAGATTTTATGTTTTGTTGTTGATGGTTGCAATAACAGTGATCTTCACATATCTGTGTATCTGCATATACATATACATATGTATATACATACAGTATTATATGCATATTATATACATATTATATGCATATTATATACATATACATATGCAT